GGATAGGTTGGCATACAGGGACAGGTAGGGCAAACACTGTGGCCTGAGGAACAATTCATCCTCTTCAATTCTCCTCATATAGTGTGGTCCCCAAAGTCATTTGCTAAAGTTAATACACAGAATGCAAGGACAGACATTTAGGCTGTTTGGTCTTTGGTTCTGTGAATCACACTGTTTAAAGCATCCCTGCATGTGCCTCTTGGTGCATACACAAGCATCTGTTGGGTATATGGGACCACGGGAGCTATATCATGACCAGGTTAGCCTTTAGGGGAGTGGGAGACCATATGAGTAAAGGGGTCAACTCATCCAGCCACCAAACCAGTTGAATACCCGCCTCCAACTCCACACGAGGCTTGGGAAAGAACTGCTCAACTAATCCATATAATTTGAATAAGTCATACCTTACTGTTGCTTTAATCTCTTGAATTTACCTATGAAGGTGTAGTGCTGGGTGGAACCTGCGGCCTCAGGCACACTAGTCAGTACTTTAACCCTACACTACGCCTCTAGCCTCAGTTTTTGTTTTGTAGATAGGGTCTCATTGTGTAGCCTTGGGTTGGCCTGGAACTCCCCATGTAAAATGGGCTGGTCTGGAACAGACAGCGACACACCTGTTTCTGTCTCTGAAATTCTGGGATTACGCACAACTACTAATTTCTAAGGTAATTTGTTATACATCAGTACTAACTACACAGAAATCAGTAGCAGATATGGGTACATGGAAATTTAAACCGCAACGTTGGCTTTTGAACACAGTGTGTGGGAGCTGTGGAGAAGACCGGGCTATTAGTGAAGGGTCACCAGGCTGGGAACAAATGCCAGTGTTACTAGAGGCTAGGGAAAGTGAACTGATCGCTGTGAAAAGGGCAGGGAAAAAAAAAAAAACCCTTCCTGTAAGCAAGTGACATGAAATCTGTGTCACACAGCTAACGAATTTTCATGATGGGAGATTTCCAGGCAGGGTATTGAATCATTTTGCTTCTGAGAACTAGAAATTATAAGAGGGGAGAATGGTTGGATGTCCCGACCGAGGACAGAAAGGATTAGAAAGTGAGATTTCTCCATCTGGCAAAATGGAAAGAAAGGCCAATGGAGGCCTGTAGGAATGGTGAAGACCTCAGGAAGAAATTGTATATGGTAGGGTAAGCAAAGGGCTCAACTCAGTGTAATCCGAGCACCAGGGAAGCTGGAGCAGGAATATGGCTGCGTGTTCAGGGCTGTCCTGTACCGAGTTATTGTCAGGGAAAAGAATAGAGGAGGGCCTAATCGAGACATGGACTGAACTTCAAGTCTTTAGACAATTTCAAAGCTTTCAAGAATCAGAAGCCCAGGGGAGCAAGGGAAATTCTCCCCTCCACACCCCAGACTCTACCGCATCCTTAGAGCAGAGGCAAGGCTGGCTCTAAGCAGCTCAGGAATGAGAATGCACATCGAGCTGGAAGTCTGAAACTTTTCCAGATACTAAGAGAAAGGAAACCAGGATGGCCTTCGGGTCCTTTACTGAGACCAGCCTGGTTTCGCAGTCTCCTGCAGGAACAGGAAGTCAGCCCCCGAGGGAAGAAAGTCACAAGACGCTAGGTGCTGTTTCCCACCATCCCTATCAGAGCCGTGTGATGAACCGTGGAAAAGATATCTCATGTGCTGATGAGCTTGCGGGATCTGTACTGGACTGTTTGTGAGGCCAGCGAGAAATCGAGGAGCAAACCCTGTTTCACCCTTTGGAGAGGGCCTGCTACACTGGACCCCAGGGGTGGGGTACTGTTGCAAATTCTGTGATCCCCAGTACCCTCTCTGTGAGGGCGCTCGCTTCTGACTCCCACCTCCAGTGTTCCTGCCTCCCCTTGCTGACAGCTGCTGGAGAGTGGCGTCCAGTTCTCTCTGGGGGGAGGCCAGGCTCAGGAACACAAGCCTGCCACAGGGCAGATCCACTCCTGCTTCCTACCCCATCCCACCCCTATCCCAGGAGACCTTGGCCTCTGGCCACCGCCATCAATCTCTTAGGACCTCAAGATTGATCTGTGGTATGATAATAAAAACCCAGAGACAGATACAGATAAGACAGACTGGGGTTCAACCTGAAGGCCAGAAAAGCAGAGCAGCCAGCCACTGGCTCTTACCTCTACCTCAGTCTGAAATGGTGATCCTGTCTCCAGGAATCTCAAAAAGTGACTGAGCCTGAGAGCTGTTTCCTCCCGTTTTATAATCCTCTCTAGTGCTGGGATTAAAGACATGCACCACTACTGCTCAGTTTCTATGGCAACTAGCCTGGCTACCGGGATTAAAGGTGTGTGTTACCACTGCCTGGTCTGTAAGGCTGACCAGGGCAGCTGTTTTGCTCTTTGATCTTCGGGCAAACTTTATTAAAATACAAATGAAGTAGCACTATGAAGGTCTTTAGAGAAGCAATAGGAACTCAGTTGTTTTCTCTCTGAGGAACCATAGAATTTCAAAATGCTGGAACTGCTGATTCTTTTCTCTACCTCAGAATGAAGTGTGGATTTAAACGGGGGAAAATTAGATGTGAAAATAATTAGTAAATTATTATTGGACTATACCAACTGAAAAAGATTAAACTGGCTGGGTGTGGGGGCTCACACTTGTAATCCCAGCATTCGGGAGGCTGAGGAAGCAGGATGAGTTTAAGGCCAGCCTGGGCTACAGAGTGGCACTCTGAAAAAAAAAAAAAGAAGGTAAAAAAAGAAGAGTAAATAGTCTACTTGGAAACAAGTTCAGTGTCAGCATGGAGCACACAGCAAGACTCTGTTCCGGTGCATACATAGAATAGTAAATTGCTCATTGCTTCTAACAGACTGACCAATGGACAGGAGTCTGATGGCAATGAATTTAAAACACTGCCTCCACCTAGTGGCCGCTCTTGACTAGGACCGCTCTTTGGTAGTTTGACCTCCAGTATCACATTAATAGTTCATTTATGACTAACTGTAGGTGACAAATTCACTAATATTAAAGGACATTGAAGAATTATACTCATGGTCATTGCATTAGTCCCCAAATCTCATTTTATAATTTGGCATATAGCTGGGCATGGTGGCCCATACCTGAGACCAGTGTGGTCTACATAGTGAGTTACAGGCTAACCAGAGCTACAGAATGAGATTCTGTTTCAACCAATCAATCAACCAAACAAAAAACCCAAACAAATAGTAACAAAAACCAAACACCTTAGTTCTCTTTTGCAATAACAATAAAATTAATTTATTTTACATTTTAGTGAATGTAAGATGGTAAGTGTAAGACAACAAAGTTAGCAAGCAAATTAGGTTTCTTTGGATAAAAATTTGCTGTGAGAGAATCCTTCTGTATACTGTGAATATGTATTGCTTCCGTTGGTTAGTGATAAAGCTCATTTGTTCAGTAGCTCAGGCTTATTACTAACTAGCTCTTACAACTTAAACTAACCCATTTCTATTAATCTAAGTTTTGTCACATGGCTCCTGGCTTTACCTATTCTCTAGCATCTTGCTTCCCCCCATGGCTGGCTCGCATCTCTCCTCCTACACCACCCTTCTTCCTCTCTGTATCTCTGTCTGGCTTTCCTGCCTAGTCTTATTCTCCTGGCTATAGGCTAAGTCAGCCTTATCATTAACCAATGAGAGCAGTACATAGGGTTACTTCACAGCACTCCCCCTTTGGTCTAATTAAACAGGGAGGTTTTAATTTTAGCATAGTAAATTTACATACAATGAAATAGCTACCAAGTGAGAACTAGTTACAATATCTAGTGTATTTGTATTTGACACAATTAAGAGAAAATAAGTATCTAGCCTATCTTGGTGAGCACACACTTTTAATCCCAGCCCTTGGAAGGCAGAGGAAGGTAGATCTCTGGGAGTTCAAGGCAGAAAGTGAATCATTTCCAACAGAAGCGACTAGTGTTTACCCCATGTTCTAAACACGCCTAGGGTGAAAACAGAAAGCCAGAGATTGAGTCATGAGAAGCTCATCAGTGGGATGGAAGCAGTGCTCTTGGGATTCTCAGTGGTAAAATCTGGCAAGGCTTTCAGGGCTTCCCCAGGCGGTTTCTGTTGGATGACTCCATGTTTCTTTTCTTTTTCTTTTTCGAGACAGGGTTTCTCTGTGTAACAGCCTTAGCTGTCCCAGAACCCACTCTGTAGACCAGGCTGGCCTTGAACTCACAGAGATCCTCCTGCCTCTGCCTCCCTAGTGCTGGGATTAAAGGTGAGCGCCACCACCCAGCACTGACTTCGCGTTTCCATCCGCTGTAATTTGCTCTTTGACATGGAAGCCCCACCTAAGGGATACGATGACTGGGAACTCCAGGTGGTTGTCTCAGTGAGGACTCTTGAAGTCTGCTGGATGTCTAAGTTCCTGATTCGATGCTGCCTTTTCTTTGTTACCCCACCGGGCTACCTTAGTTATTTCTGTGGGATGTTGTGAGCACCTGAATTAGTTAGGTTTTACTATTGGTTGCTTCTGTTTCCTACTGGCTACTTAATGTCTCGTTTTTGCTTGTATCCTTTAAAAATTCACCCGTGGCTGGTGTAGCTCACTCTCCAGACCTCACAGGTATCTAGGTTGAAATTCACTTTCTAGAACAACTTTTCCTTGCAAGGAATGTTTCTGTGAACCCTGGGTTTTGGGCGAAGATGAGGGTGTTGGAAGATTTAATTCAACATCTATGTAGTAAATTTAAGTAAAAAACAAAATAGACACTCATGGTAGGAATGTAAACTATTATAGCCATTATGTATGGAGGTTCATCAAAAATAAAATAATCCACCTTGGGGTAGTTATTCAAAGAAAATTAAATTAGTATGTCAAAGAGATACCTGCACACGTGTGCACACATACATATGTATATATATGTATATATACACACATATACTGAAATTATTACTATATATATAGTATATACACACGCATATTAAAACATCACACTGTAAAACATACATATAAGACTGTCAATTAAACCTTAATAATGCTAGAGCTAATCTTAAGCAGTTTGTAAACTTCCAAACAGATGAATTTATAATTTATAATTTCCATTATCAATACGAACATAGTATGCAAAGTTTACATTTGGAAGAGAACCTAAAAAGTGCTATTATTCCCAACGAAAACGCAAGAGTTTGAGATACTGCTACTTTTCTATGTTTTTAGGAACTTAAAACGAAAAGAAGCCGATTTTATTGCCGTTCATGCCTTGCATTTGAAGTACTCTTCGATGGCATCTTTAGCCTGAGACTCTTTGCCATAGTTCTTAACCACCACACAACTGCAACCTATTACTTTCCGGGGTTTCCCCTTCCGATCAATTTTGCAGAGGCCTACCCATTCCCCGAGTTTCTTGTGGTCATCAACCTTAATCAGGTTGATCTGGTGCTCAGCACAAAGGGATTCCACCAACTTGGTGTGCGTGGGCTTATCACAGTTGGATGCCAGCACACAGAGGTGGGCCTGGCGCTTGCCTAAGGCTTTGGCAGCTTCGTGAATCCCTCGTGCCAGGCCGTCGTGGCCCAGGGCGATCTTCAGCACCTCCTTCAAAGCAGAGTGGACGTCCATCGCTGCTGCCTTGGCCATGGCGGTGGGTGACACAGGCGGATCCGATCTGGGACGCACGCGAGTCTCTGGGCGGGCTCAACCCTTTCGAAACTACTCTGCAACTACCGAAAACTACCTAACTTCCAACCTAAGTCGCAGGAGGCAACGGATTCCCAGTTCTGTGGAGGAAAAAAGGCGGTCAGATGGCCACCTAGAGGACAAAAAATTAGGACATCTCGGGTACGAGACTGCCCCGTGCGGGTAGCTCCCAGGGAGTGTAGGCGGCTCGCACCGAGCATGGGCGAGCGTCCTCGTTATTATTACGTAATCTTGGCTGCTTCTGCGGGAAAGCATCTGGGGAAAAGTGGACCGCCTCCGTTGCCTGCTCCAGGCTCCACAACCACTGCGACGCCGCAACCTGCGCCAGCATCCCGTGCCCTCGCTTCATCAACCGCTGACTCTTATTTTGCCTTAGCCGATTCGCCACGACTTGGAGTCAGAGTTTAACCGGGAAAATTCAACTTTAATATCTCAGAAGGCCTTACTGTTCACAAACGTGGAATCAGGAGACACTTTCGGTCCCTAAACATTTTTGTTGGGGTGACCGTGGCGGAGTCCCTTTCAGCTACGCTCAGCAGGACGAAAACGCCGACGCGGACGCCCAGACCGTCGTGCCCGGCCGCGCAGTCGCAGTAGCCTCGCGCTCCAGCTCCCGCCCCCAGCTGGGTGGACGACGTGGAAGTTGCTGGCCGACCTGGCTCGGAGGGAGTCGGCTTGGGCACCGGAGGCCCGGAGCAGCGGAGGTGGCGGCGTCCAGGCTCAACTAGGAGTCGCTCGCTGCCGACTGCCGGCCTGACTCTGAGGATCGGCGAGGGCGCGGCGGCCGTTCACCATGGGTGAGCACTGTGGGGAGGGTGGGCGTCGCGGGGAGACCGGGTGGACCACGGGCAGCGGAGCCACCTTGGCTCGTGCCCTGGTGGGGACCAGACCCTCGGCTCGGTCCCCCTACCCCGGCCGTGTCGGCTGGCCGGTGCCTGGCCGCAGGCTCGCCCTGCTGTCTGACCCTTGTGGAATTTCGATGGCTCCTGCGTGGGCAGTGGGGACTGCGTCCCTTGGAGAAACCCCGAGGCCGGGTGCTGCCCGCCCACTGTACCTGTCGGTGGGGAGAGCTGGGGAAGGTGGATGGCCAGGTGGGAAGTGCGTGAGGTTTTCATCGCGGCTCGCAGGTTTGCAGTTCCCCAGGTGAGGGGACCACGGTGCTTGTCCCGGCGCACCCTACGGTGACGCCCCCCCAGGACAGCCGGAGCCTCTAGGGAGTTGCTGTCCTTCAGTCCTTCCCCGGTTTTCTTCAGAGTGATCCCGAGCATCCTCAGTCTGCTCGGTTCTCCGCAACCCTGCGGTGTTGTTTTTCCGCCTCTCTCCTACGTGTAAAAAGGCCTAAAAGAACTTTAAGTCACACCCATTCTTCCCCCAGGTTCTGCTTGCAAGGTGGCATCTGTTCTTCCTGTCTTCTTCCCTTCTTTCCCTGTGTCCGTGTCCGTGTGTGTGAGCGCGCGTGCGCGTACAAGCGGACTATTGGCTTGAAGTCAGCCTTGAGCCTGTTAGCCAACGCCCTGCTGCTGAGCTACAATCCCAGCCCTTATAAAACTTTGAGACAGAATCTCACTAAGTTGTCTACCCTTGAGCTCAACCGTATAGTTAAAGTTGCCTTCCGACTAACAGTACTCTTCTTGCTTTAGCCTTGAGTAGCTGGTATAACAGATTTGGACCACTAGTCAAAAGGCCTTGTACACATATGTACATACACACATATGTACATGCATATATGCATATATACACATATTACCTGTATATATTGATATGGAGTATAATCTCCTCTATTCCCCCTACTTTTCCCTTTCCTCATTTGATTATTGTGATTTTTTTTTTCTTTAGTGACTTTTGAAGGCAAAGAGTTTTGCCATAGATACTTTTATTTGTGCCTTGGATGCTTAATTTTTCCTGGAAATATTTCATAAAGTATTGGATGTAGTCTGTCTAAAATGAGTTTCTAATGCATACAGGAAATGGGCAAGCGGGTGAGTCCTAGGTCAGTCTGGTCTACATGATTTCCAGGCCAGCCTGGGCTCCAAAGCGCACCGAAGGTGCTGGTAATGCCTCCACTCTGTGACCTGTGACTGCTCTCTCAGCATTGTGCCCCTGCTCCTCTGACTGGTGTTTGGTGTTTAGGGGGAAAGGAGGAGACCACTGAGTTATCTTGTCCTTGCTCTATTGACTGGGAAGTGGACTGGACTCTTGAGGGCAGTGTCTGCACGTCTGATTGTTTAGTGTGTCTTCTGCCTGCCTGACAGTACGCAGGACCAGGGAACGTCTCTGATTGCTTATTTGCTGTTACATAATATATTTCACTGGAAGCAAAAGTATCTACCTGTGCATCTGGGAAGATATTTTGCTATTTGATTAGGCATATAGCTTTCAAAAGGCAAGGTTAGATGTTTTATGGACCTAAGTTAAAAGATGACATTAAATATATTTTGTTTTTATTGTCTTGTAGGTGGCTTTTTCTCAAGTATTTTTTCCAGTCTCTTTGGAACCAGGGAAATGAGGATTTTAATTTTGGGATTAGATGGTGCTGGGAAAACAACAATTCTGTACAGATTACAGGTTGGAGAAGTTGTTACTACCATTCCCAGTAAGTACTGGTTTCATAATTCATTATAGAACATTTCTGGTTTCCATCTAATGCAACTTTATGAATAACTTAGTCTTACGATATATTGATAGGGGTTTATAAGTTTCTAATATGAAAATGATATTGGCAATACTTTCATATATATATGAAAACACACACACACACACACAAAACACTAAGGAGCTTTGATGCACTTTAAGGTTCCCTCTCCAGGCCTGCAAACAGATGTCTGATTAGAGCTGCATTTGGCTTAAGTCACTAAGTCTCTTTGTGCTTCATGAAGATACTGAACATCTACTGGCTCTGAGGGGTAAATAAATGAAGTGTACAGAGCTCTTTGTTAGTGTGGAATGGAGGATATAGATGATAAATTGGTGTTGTTGCAAAGTACATTTTTCTGCATTTTAATGCTTGAATCACAGTGTAGTTTCTCCTAGGTAATTCTGTAGATCACTTCTAAAGATGGGAATTGTAGAGGCTGGGAGTTGGAATGACCAGGCTACTAGAAAACAAAGAAACACCCCAACTTCAACTCTGTTTATGGCCTTATTATTCTTGCTGGCTTAGAAAATTACTTGCAGATACTCCCATCTGCATGGGGATGGTTATACTCTTTGATTTGCTAAATTAAATCTACAGAGGTAAAAGCGATACATTTAAATTGGAGAATCCATATAATTTGCTCAAGATTTTAAACTGTTTAGAATTACTGTCAGGAAATTCTCATTTTGTCACTGAACCTTCCAGGAATTTTTTTGTTTTGCTTTTACGGATGAATGTTTGGATTCTGTAGCATCTGTTATTTCTTTTTGCCGTTTTCTGCCCTTTTCATTTCCTCTGATTCTCATTTCTCAGACTCTCTGCTCTGCATCTGGGTAGCTTCTGGTGACCTCTGCAATGCTGCACAGTGCTGCACAGCGGGTGGACCCACTGTGGGCTGCCTTCACCCGTCCTTTGCACATAAATGGTGCTCTTGGTGTGGTGACGAGCATGGAGCTGCCTTTGTCTAGTTGTGAGGGAGAGCGGAGCTTGCTCTTTAGTTCGCTGCATTTGCTGTGGATTTACTTTTCAGTTGTAATGTGCATACTTGCCTGCCACATGCATCGTTTGCCAACACAGCGTTAAATAGGAAACAGTCATTTTTCACTCTGACCTTTAAGGTTAGGAAATGTGAGCAAACTTGTGTGTGCCCACCCTAGGTGTTTTCCGTGTTACTTTCTCCCTCGTGTAGACTCCTTTCTTTGAAAGCAGTATCAGGTCTCAGCCGTGCGGTGCCAGAGCTACACCTAGGAAGGATGGTAGACACAAGGATGAGCTATAGACCACCCAGCTGCGACCTGGTTACATGGGAGGTGTCTGCAGAGGGTCTGTAAGGTTGCCTCCTGCAGAGAACTTGGCTCCCATAAAGTCACTGCTGTGTCCTTTCTGGATGTTAGAGCCTAGTCTTTTGTGTTAGTTGTAGTTTTTACTGTCTTCCAGAATTTCAGTTTTTCAAATGAAACTTTCTGGCCCACATCTTTACTCCCAGCACTGGGAGGCAGAGGCAGGCAGATTCCTGTAAGTTCAAGGCCAGCCTGGTCTACATAGCGAGTTCCAGGACAGCCAGGGCTACACAGTGAAAACAAATAAGCAAACAACTTTCTGAACGCTTATCTGCCAGTATTCATGGGAGTTTGATAGACCGACTTGTAGGACTAGAATTGCTCCCTGCCTAAAGTGCTGAGGACCTGAGTTCAGTCCCCACAGCCTGTGTAAGGACAACCTGAATATGGTGCGCGCAGTTCTGATCCCAGCAGTGAAGAGGCAGCTGGCAGGTGCCTGCGGCCCAGTCGATGGGCAGTGACTGCGGAGCACAGTGTTGGCCTCGTCCTCTGGCTCCCACACATGCACGTGTGCCAGCGTTTGCATGAGTAACGTGCACAGAGCAGTCAGGAGATTCTTTGTAACCTGAAGGTGGTGCTGATCTTATTAATTTATGGCACGTGTGTGTGTCATAGCATATTGTCTTAAATGTTAGAATAACCCAGTCCATAATGTGATTGAGAATTACCAGCAGTTGCCAAACTTAGTGAAGCTGGAGACTGTCAAGGTGGAGTGTATTAGTCTACGTGCACTATCGGTTTGATCTCTCTTTCAGCTATTGGATTTAACGTAGAGACGGTGACATACAAGAACCTCAAATTCCAAGTTTGGGACTTAGGAGGACAGACAAGTATCAGGTACAGTACGAACATCAGGTCATTTGTTGCTATTTAACATTTGCTGCTGCTTTCTCGTGCCGACAATACTAAACCACAGTGTGTCTCTGCTGTAAATTAGATAGGGTCACACTGTTAAAAATGAGGGGGAATTGGAAACTACGAATGTTCTTAGAGCATCCAGTGATTAAAATCTAAGGAACTCAGGTTCTCAGATGATCACGTAGAATCCTCTCATGAAAGCCTGAAAGGCTCAGAAACAGGCCCCTTGTTTCAGTTTCCTCTGTCCCCCTCCGAGAGCTGTCATCCGTACAAGGCCATGCAGAGGTGACGTAAATGCATGTGCGTCCTGGAATGCAGTGCTCACAACTCAGCAACTGCGAGTGTCTGTGACTGTCAGTGGCTTAGGGCACCAGCTTAGATCAGTAGTAAGGTTACTGTTATAAAGACTTTATACTGTTATAAAGGTGTGGGGTGCACACCTTTAATCCCCGCACCTCTGTAAGGTGGAGGCCAGCCTGGTCTACAAGAGTGAGTTCCAGTTCAGTCAGGGAATAGTGACATAGTGAAACTGTCTCAGAAAAGACAAGAGAGAGAGAGAGAGAGAGAGAGAGAGAGAGAGAGAGAGAGAGAGATTGATCGATTGATTGGTAATACATTCACTAAATATTCTGCTGTTCAGTAACTCATTTAAGTCACTTATTTCTAATTATAGCCAATTCTACTTCAGTGATGAAGGACATAAAGTCACATTAAAAAATCCAGGTAGTGGTGGTGCACACCTTTAATTCCAGCACTGGGAGGCAGAGGCAGGCGAATCTCTGTGAGTTTGAGGTCAGCCTGGTCTATAGATCAAGTTTCAGGACAGCCAAGGCTACACAGAAAAACCCTGTCTTGGGGAAACAAAACAACAAACCCATCTTTTTTTTTTTTTGTAAGGTATTCATGGTTAAGACTCATAAGTTATACTCATCAGGTCTGTGTACCGTTTCCTACTGGCATAGTGTTCTTTGTAGATTGTATTTGTATTTTCTCATCCTGAAGTTCAAATTTACTCTGAACGTGTAATTTTGGGCCTGTGATTTAATATTCTTCTTTTAACTCAGTGACATCAAGTGTGATGAGATGCATTTCTGTCAGGAACAGGAGATCATTAGGGCATTGTTCTGAGCAGGAGTGGAGCCCGCTGGCACGTAATCACCATCTCCCTATCATTGACCCAAGTCCAGCGTGTAGATGGACATGTGAGGTTTTTTTTTGCAAGGGATAACATGTTTTCCATTTTTGAATTTTCTTTAGGCCATACTGGAGATGTTACTACTCAAACACAGATGCAGTCATCTATGTAGTTGACAGTTGTGACCGAGACCGAATTGGCATTTCCAAGTCAGAGTTAGTGGCCATGTTGGAGGTAAGCAAACATTCCAGCATTAACATTACACATTTAAATGAGGAGTGGAGGAATTATCATGTGCAGTAATAAAGACCATGCAGGGATAGTTTTCCTCCATTGTTTTCCTATCTTTTCTTTCTTTAAGTTTTATTTATTTATTTGTATGGATGTTTTGTTTGCATTATGTGTGAGTTCCATGTGTATGCCTGGTGTCTGTGGAGGTCAGAAGAGATTATCCAGTCCCCTGGGAGTGGAAGTATAGCCGATTGTGAACCAATGTGTGGGTGCTAAGAATCGAGCCGGGGTCCTCTGCAGGGGCAACTAGTGCTCTTAACCTCTGGACTAATTCTTCCTACCCCCTTAAAGATATATTTAAAAAAAAAATTGTGTGTGTGTGAGTGTTCAGCTGCATGTATGGCTCTACACCTGTGGGCCTGGTACCTGAAGAGCCTGAGACTGGGGTTACAGATGCAATCTACCATGTGAGTCTGGAAACCAGACATGGGTTCCCAGCAGCAAGTGAACTTAACTAGAGCTATCCCTCTCCCCCATTCTGTCCGCCTGCCTCTATCATCCATCCCTCTGTCCGTCTGTCCCTCTGTCCGTCCGTCCATCTTCCCCCACTTTCTTTACTTTTTACAAAGTGCATGTTACTTCCTACTCCAGAAATAGTTGGAGAAATGGACGAAATAAATTCAGCCCTGTAGCTTCCTATAAGGTAGATTTCATGCTTCCCTGAAAGTTCAGAGCTTTTTTCATTTAAGCTGAGACAACTTTAAAAAAAAAATTACTAGCTTGTGTGTCTGTGTGTGCACGCATGTGTGTGTACGCACATGTGTGTGTGCATGCATGTGTGCGCACACCTGCACACGGAGGCCAGAGCCCAGCTTTGGAGAGCTGATTCTCATCTGTCCTTACGTAGGTTTCCCAAGATGTTTCTCAGGTTGCCTCATAAGAGGCAACTTTTACCTGCTGAGCCATCTTGCTGCCCCAATAGTATGTCTTTCACCCCCCCCCCCCCCAATAGTATGTCTTAAAAGGTTTATTTTTGTCTGTGGTTTGTCTGCATGAGCATGTGTGTGGGTGCCCTCAGAGGCCAGAAGAGGTGACAGATACCCCGGGGCTGGAGTCCAGGCCGTTGGGAGCTGCAGTTGTGGGTGCTCAGAACTGAACTCGGGAGGAGCACTGAGCCATCTCTCCAGTTCTGCCTTTTAAGTTGTCTTACTCTTGGTCATTTTAAAACATCTGTGCACTAAGAAATGTGTATTCTGGGCTGTTGGCAGTTAGTTAGAGAAGATAATTGTAACTCATTGCTCCCAAAGTTGAGATGTGCTAAATACCAACAATTAAGACAGGAGATCAGTGAGGGTTGAATAGGTTTTTTTTTTTTAATTCTGAGACTGGGTCTTGCTTTTAGCATTTGCGGACCTGAACTTGCTTTCCATGTCCTCAGCTAGCCTCAGACTTCCAAGTACAGGATTGCTGTTCTTTCTGTGTTTGAATGCTTTTGTCTGTAACTGTACACAATAATGGGCGTCTTTGACATTTTCCTGCGCGTACATGCCGTGTTTGGTTTATATGTACTCCCCCTTTATCTTCTCCCCTCTCCTCCCGCTCCCACCAGCCCCTCTTCCCACCTGGCCTCCCTTTTGTGTTCATGTCTTTTGTGTGTGTGACCCCGTGAATTTTATTAGTTTACAAGAGTATGGCTACATAAACACATACTTTCTTCAATACAATTTATTTTTTGGTATTTTTTTTTCCAACTCAAGGGTGCATTATTAATTAAAATGAAGTCTTTTTCCATTTTATTTAGGAAGAAGAGCTGAGGAAGGCCATTTTAGTGGTGTTTGCAAACAAGCAGGACATGGAGCAGGCTATGACACCCTCAGAAATGGCAAATGCACTTGGGTTGCCAGCCCTGAAGGATCGAAAATGGCAGATATTTAAAACGTCAGCAACCAAAGGCACTGGCCTTGACGAGGCTATGGAGTGGTAAGCGTCTGTGTGAAGCCGGCTGTGCACACATGGGAAGCTTCCTGTACGATAGTGTTCTTTGTCTTGGTATGTAGCCCAGGATATACTCCTGCTCCAGCCTCCTTAGTGTGCATTACCACACTGGGTAAGCTGGCTCTCCGCTCTGTGTCCCCTTTCTGTCCTGAGTCCTTCTGGAGTTAGGATAAGGCTTACTTCTTATCCACCAGACTCCTGACAGGCATTGTGGTAGCCCATACCATTACTGCCAGCCCTTGGGAGGCACATGCAGGAGAATCACCAAGTTTGAGGCCAGTTGGTAGATCGGCTGAGGCTGCGTGGGGAGACCCTTCTGTAGTCCTCTTCCTCCCCCAGCAGAGTCTCAAGTGTATCTGCGATCCCACTGTCCTCACACAGGTGAACTCACCACCCTTATCACAGCCCAGTGACACGTGCTTGCTACATAGCTCATAATTGATCAATACGTGCATCTACTCCAGCTGTTGAGAATAACGATGAGTTTTTACCTCTGAAGTGTACATATGTACAACCCTGCAGTAATAGCAGAAAATAAGATACCTGAGACTCAGATTTGATGCTGCCTGCCAATAATCTCAGTACTTTGGAAGCAGAGACAAGGTCAGGAATTTAGGGTCTGAGAAGGTCAGTAATTTAGGGTCTATGGTGAGTTCAAGGTTATTCTGGGGCTTGAGATTCTGTCTCAAGAAAAAGAAAAATCAGTAGATACCTGACCCTTTTCTTTGATCTGTGTTAAACTTGGTGATGTAAAGTGCTCTAAATCCACCTCCATTGTGTAATTCATATTGTAAATGGTCATGCTTTAAACCTGGAAGTTAGTTTTGTTAAACTATTGCATTTTATCTCTGCAGGTTAGTTGAAACATTGAAAAGCAGACAGTAAGTCCACTCATCTGTAAACCAAACACTGTCATACACTCATTGGAATCGGCCAGATGTGCTTCGATGACTCTTGGGACTGTGATTGCTGGCATGTACAGAACTGACTCCAATATTTGTAATAAATATAAAAAGCAAGTACTTGGCGAGAGGGTTAGCTTGATTATATCACCCAAATGGTCTATGTACTGTAAAATATTCTTCCTTGCTTTCTTGTGTTAAGGTATATATTCTATTTGTATGGAATTCTTACACAAATACAATTCTATTAAAGGGTGTATACTCTTGGGCCTCCTATCTTTAAATTAGTGTTGCACTTTGTTTGTATGAACACTAATATTTAGCTCAGACTTATTTCCCCTTAAAATGAATTAAGGCTTTCCAAAGGTTAGCCTTAGCAAAGTAGATTAGCAATATAGTGTGTATAATATAATCTCACTGGCCTAACTGACTAGTTTATATTAAGCTATTCCTTTTAAGAGTTCTTGATTATAGGCATGAGTGTTCTTTTGTCGGCTCACTTTACTGACTTACATTATTTTACAACACTTCATAGCTGTCAAAAGAACTTGACATGTTGACCTGAACATTGTACAGTAACCCTGTGAGAAACGCAAGGTTCTGCTATGTTGCTTTGACAGACCCTGTGTAGTGAGGTGGGTTCAGAGTCAGACATTTGTGTCAGAAACCACACTGTATGTGGAATACTGATCTAGGAACACAGATACTGATCTGGCGGCACACGTGTAATCCTAGTACTCAGGAGACGGAGGCAGGAGGACTGACAGTTTGGGATGTGTGGTGAATCTGAGGCCAGCTTGGGCTGCTTGAGACCATGTCTCAAAACAAAAATAATAAACCAACCACACACACAAAATATACTAAAGTAGTTATGGACATTCAAAGTAATGTTTATATAAACTCTTGTCTATGCCAGTAAAATGATAACTGATACAGTCAGAATGATCCCAAATAGCTGTATTTGATGAATCTACAACATAGTAAAAAATTTCACAAGAAAGCAAATAAAAAGTAATTTTAATAATATTAACACAGTGTCTTTACTGTTTTCCACTTATATGCCCTTTTCAGATTAAAATTGGCTAAAATATCTTACTGGTTCTAAAGAAAATTAAATATTCCTAGTTTTAAAAATTAGGCATACTGAAGGCTTAAAACTGTCCTGAGGAACTACGTCAGTCTAACAGTCCACCTCACCCTTAGCACATGTGAAGGCGGGCATGGCCTGTGTGTCACCTCACCTTTAGCACGTATGACGGTGGGCATGGTCCGCGGTGTCACTAACACCGGGGGTTCCTTCAAATACCAACAACGGGCATTTGAAAGTTAGACATTGGTACAGATGTGGGCTCTAGCCTTCCCTCCCATAGATGGTCATTTTGTTAGGGTAAGTAAAGAACACACTTTGCTCTTAAGAGATTTTTATTTTTGGGAGCTAGCCCAGGCTGGCCTCAAACTTCCAGGGCTCCTCATGCCTGGCTTCATGTTATCATGGCCGGCTTAGGATTCATAAGCTTTTAGTGTGTGTTTTTTTTTTTTTTTTTTTTTTTTGGCAATCTTTTTAGGGACCCTCTTCCTCCAGGCACAATTATTACCAAGACAAGGCTTTGTTTTTATATGCACTTTAGTACCCATATATGTGGACATTCCCTTACACTGGAATATATTCATACTTGAGGCTGAGGTTACCGTGCAAGCATGAGGGTCATCGTTTGACACCCAACAAGCATGTAAAAAGCTAGGCATGTCTTTAACCTCAGTGTTGGGGGCGGGTCTAATGAAATGGCAAGGTCCAGCACTGAGACCTTTATCTCAGCCTACAAGATGGAGAGATCTGACCTTCACATCTGCACACACAGACAAGCGCATCCCCTCACACCGTAATACGTACACCATGCAGAAGCCGTAATAGGGTACACAGGTCAGGTAGGCAAGGGGCACTGCAGTTTATACTTTAGTTTCCTTCTGGTCAATGGCACACAGCTGGAAAATGGCAAAAAAGTAATTTATTTACACTGAGTTACTATGTTTACTCCCCTATGATTCTGGAACACTGGAAAAATAGGGTGCAGCGGACACATGCTGCCCGGCACCTAGCCCCCATCACCTCAATCTGATGATGCATCACAGAGGCTAGAATAAATCCCGAACTCCAATGTTGACATTTACCAAGTAAATCTGAATACTAGAGAGTGTGTGTGCGCGCACCAATCTGTCTAAGGAGCTTGGCAGTGTGTGTGCACGCACGCATGCACTTGTGTGTGAAAGAAGCTTAGTAAGGGGAGTGTTTTGAATTTTGGTTCTACTTTCCACAATTTCTTAGTTATTTGCTGAGTCCACTGCATCTGTAAAATAGGAACAATTTTTAATCCCAGAGGTAGGATCAGAATTAAGATGTACGCCAGGTACCTAACGCACAGGATGGGTTCTGTTTCCCAAATACACCGGGCACTGAGGAGTGTTGCTTCAGCGCTGAGTGTGGTGAGCAGGTGATGGCACAGCCGAGCAGCTGACACCAGTTTCCTTCAAGAGTGAGTCACTCCAGATAGAATCTGGGAAAGTTTCTGGGAAAGCAAATGGTAACTGTGTTTCTTGTTTAAGCTGAGGCATTTGCACACAAGCCAAATATGGAAACCTGGACCTCCAAATCTTAGGAGTGTTGCTAGTACAGCATAAGACCTGTCACCACACACTGTGGGTTTGAATCGTGTTCCTTCTCCAGATTCACTGTCTTTAAACACTGGGCTCATTCTCTTTATCCTGTATTATACAGGGCCATATATTTTTGGGTTTTGCTCCCATATGTAGTCAGCCAGTGGATCAATCTGGGAAAATAGCACTTCACGATACTGAATCCGTCAGCATGCCTGTATCTGTTCGCAGACTTCTCAGTGCTTTCTGATGTTATTACCAATACTTTGTTCTACTTATTCCTAACATCTACTTTTTATATTTAAATATAATTTTAAAAATATAATTGTATAGTATACATAAATATATATTTTGAGGCAGGGTCTATGTTCTCAAACTCACACAGATCCAATCATTTCTACCTCCAGACTCCTGGGATTAAAGGTGAACACCACCACACCAGCCTTTCTCTGTGTTAATGATCTTTTTCTGAAAAAGCTAGGTTTTAAGCCATGTCAGTTAGTATCATATTAAACATTTTAATTTAAAAGAATACAAGCATGATTACATTAAAATATAATTACAAATCTATGCCAAAGTTTAACTTATTTTCTTTTGGTTGGGTCCTGTTTTCCTTAGTCCACTGGCCTGAAACTCACTGTGTAGTTCAGGTGGGCCTCAAACTTGAAGCAATCCTGCCTTAGCTGTCCAGGTGTAGAGATTACAGCCACGCCTACCTTCCAAAGTCTAATTCAGTCCAGTAGAGGAAGGCCGGAAGTTCAGGTTTCCACCCCAGAGACAGTGTGAGTTACTGCTCTGCGCGCAGGGAGATCTCACTCCATGATCGCTAAGTCTCTCAGGCTGTGGGATTTCTGTCTCTTGGCCTTATAGCCTGGGCGCAGGAATGCAATCTTTCTTTTCTTTGCTTCACTTTTATTTTTATGTTTCTTCAACTTTTTCTTGGCAGCAATATCAGGATTGGTTACAAACTTCAAGAGAAAGCAGAGATCTCACATTACTTTAAGGTACATGTTAAAAGAATCCAAAGCAAATGCAGAAGATGCCATTGATAAAAATCCTCCTCCTCTCCTGCCTTCATTCCTCCCCTCGAACAGCAGCACACGTGTGCACAGCACACGACACTCACCTCCACGGCCTTCCTCTTCTTCCGGAGCGCCCTCTTCTCACTAGCCTGCTTCTGGACAGAGGCAAAGGCCAGTGAGAAGCGCTCGAGCCCAACCAGCTTTCTGAGTAATTCTATGATTTCCTGGGATAGATTCTTCAGCAGGGGATCTAAGCACACAGAAAAAGATGAGAGGCAGTCACACATCAAAGCATTTCAACTCCCGTGGCATCATGATCGTTTGTTATCATTCAACACAAATCCATGGCCCCTGAGCTCCTGAGATGGGAGGGTGTGGCACCTGTAGCGTCCACCTTAGCCAGAATGCAAGAGGAGACCAGACTCTAGGAGGCCCAGCTCCCGACAGGAACCTGGCTGTTAGGTTTCCTCTGTGAGCCTGTTCAGCTCTGCAGATGTGGAAGATGGTAGGGCAGCGTGTTTCTTCAGCCTCCAGCGCACAGGTCAGAGCCTGGCCGTGCTCTCTCTCCCACCCTCCCTTTCTCTTTCTAAATGCAACTCAGCCACACAGTGGCAGTGTCTTAAATACCATGGGAATTCGTTAAGATGTATACCAAGTGCCCGAATCACAGACTGGACTGCTTCGAATACACTAAGCACTAAAGAATACCACTTTAACACGAAGTACAGCGAACTAAAGATGAATGAGGCTGAAGAGGTAAAAACATCTCCTCACTGGGTGGTGACAAGGACAAACGTTTGCCAGCACTCTAGAGGCAGAGGCAGGTGGATCTCTGTGAGTTTGAAGCCAGCGTGGTCTACAGAGCGAGTCCAGAGAAACCCTGTCTAAAAACAAAACAACCCCACGACAATAACAACCCTAGGCTCCTCTGAAAGTGACTCACTAGAGCATTAGAAATGTCAGCCTCAGGACCAACTGCTAAGGCCTCTATGAAACCATAGACTGTTTCTCTATACTTACTTAAGTCACAAATTAAAAAAAATTAAATTATGAGGTATTTGTGAATAAGCAACATATGAAAACTTGGAAATTTAATACCAAATCTAACAGAATCACTTCGTTTCAAATCTAACACCGAATCTGCTCCATTTGTCTTATTTATTTATTTTTTTGAGAGAACCCTCCTCCTCTGGGAGCTTCCAGGGTGCTGGGATCACAGCACACAGCACCACTGTCCACTGTGAGGTTTAGGAATACCTAAAAGCTGCCTCCGAGGGTAGAGTCATCATCCTATAGAAGCCAAACATTTTCTCTCTCCTTTCAGACAGCGTTTCACTGTGTAGTCTTGGTTGGCCTTAAAGTTATCAAGTTCCACCTGCCTCACATGTCACACTGAATAAATGGAAAATATATATTTGCCATTAAATGTTTTCTTCCTTAAACCCCAGTAGGGAATGAAGACAGAAAGGAAGGGGTCCCCGCGTGCGAACACTCAAGAGGACAGAGGGGCAGGGTACCTTGCTCCGAGTAGGTGCTGTTGAGTTCCCGAAACAGAGGCGCGATGATCTCTGGGAGGTAGGGCTGGACCCGGTCCACTCCAAGGTCCACAGCTACTGCACCAAGAAACTTAAAGATGCAGGTTCTCTGAAAGAAGAAACCTCACTTGAACTGTCTCCGCTCAACACTTAGTCACGCAGTGTTCAGCTGAAAAGCGGAGCTCACTCTTTTTCGAGATGGACATTGTTGCAATTTTAGGTTCAAAATACAAAATCCCAAGGATCCAAAAGTCTCACCAATAACATATACACATTCAACAAGAAACCCAAAGCCCCAAAACAAACACCCCAAATCAAAACTCACAAAGTAAACATCGGGTGTTGTAACTTACTCCTATAATAAATCTAGCACTTGGAAGGCCAAGGCAGGAGGACTGCTGCAGTAGGGACAAGTTTCAGACCAGCTTGAGATACAAAACAAGCACCAGGTAAATGGGTTAGAGCCTGTGTCAAGAAATTGTCTCTAAAAACGGAAAAACAAAAAACAAAACAAAACTCCAAAACCAAATCTGTGTCAAAAACCAAGAGGCAGTCACAGTGACACAGCTCTGACTCCGAGCCAGCATCTGGGAGAGAGGCAGACAGGTCTCTGTTAATCCAAGCCTCCCTGGCTTAGCAGAGCTCCGGGCCAGCCAGGGCTACACACTGAGCTGAGACCCTGTTTCAGACAGCAACAACAAAACACAGGAACAACAAAGACTTTAGTCGCCTGCTGTACCTTTAAGGGGTTTCTGGGTGTATAAGCAGCTTCCAGCTTAGCCATCCGGGACAGTTTCTGGATCAACCACAGCAGTGTGGCCGGCTTGCCGGGCTCTTCCTTCTCTTCTCCGTCCAACTCCGTCCTTCCGTCTGCACCAGCCTCGTCTTCTGTCACCTCTTTGGCCAGAGCATCTCCTAGCGTGTCCTGTTCTTCCAAGTCTTTCAACTCTCCTTGCTTGTTCCCAGAATCAGGTTCCAGTAAATACAAGACTTTTGCTATGAACAGTAAGTTCTTAACAACCTTAAAGAAGGGAGAGGGGAGGAGGTTAGATCTGGAAACAAGCAAGGCTTGCTGGGTCCTAACCTAACGTGCAGCGACAGAATGGTGGGCACAGCACCATTACACTGATGGCTGCTTTACGTTCTTAAGTCCACAAAGTACCCGAATTCATTCTCCTGTAACGGTTATCATTTTGCTTAGTTCTGTCTTTAAAGTCACAGAAGTAAAACATTTTCCCATGGAAGAAGCATTGCCATTTTATCTTGCACTAATTCTCTGAACCTAATTATGCAGAAATAATATTAACTGATTCATTGAATCCACATTCAACCGTGAAAGATCCCTCTGAGATATTGGTACCAGGAGATAAACAGTTATTATAAGTTACACCAATATAAAATGTCACTAATGGTTAACCAGGATTCAACAGTCTTAAGCCTTCAATGCCAAGTACTCAATTTACCACCCACTGAACGGCTGTCTACTCCTTCCCTGACCCTGCCACATGTAAAGCTTTTCGAGACAGGGTTTCTCTGTCTAAGAGTCCTGGCTATCCTGAAACATGTTCTGTAGACCTGGTGGCCTCAGACTCACAGAGATCTGCCTGCCTCTGCCTCCCGAGTGCTGGAGTATAGGCGTGCCCATCACTGCCCAGCTGAGCATTTACTTTTTAAAGAGAGTTGAGACCCTGTATCCCGGGCTGGCCTCACACTGATGGCAACCCTTCCACTCAATCTCCCAACTAGATCACAGGTGTGAGCTATACCTGTACAGCGCATCTCATCTATGAAAGTACATAAACTATTTTAATGATGGACGATGTTATCTGCTTTTAGGGTCGGCCAGTGGCCAGTTTATTTTATCTATCTATCTATTTATTTATTTATTTATTTAGTATTCATTCATTCATTCATTCATTCATTCATTCATTCATTCATTCATTTATCTTTGCTGATGACAACACTGTTCTTTAGGAGCTGTCCACCTTGCTTTTTGAGACAGGATCTTTTGGGGTCCTGGGGCTAGACTGGCTAGCCTCACTAAGCCTCACTGATCTAACTGCCTGCCTTAGGGACAGTTTTTAGGTCAATCTTTCTCTTTAACCTCCAGGGATATGCTAGAGGTAGAGGCAGGTGGATCTCAGAGTTCGAGATCAGTCTAGTCTACAGAGCTAGTTCCAGGACAGTCAGAGCTGCTGCACAGAGAAACCCTGACTATTGTCTCAGTCCATCAGGAGACCAGCCGGCTGCTTCTCTCACACTGGAGTCCACACTCTTACCTGTTCTCCGAGGGTCTCGTCTAAGAATTTGGAATGCAGCTGATGGCAGGAAGCCAGGGAGATACTCTTCATCTGCGAGAAGAAGGGGACACGAGCAGACAACATTGCTGGTTGTTTAAAACCCACAGTCACCCATTAACAGCTGGGAGCGTGGACACCGCTGAAGCCCGAGCACACCAGGAGGCTGAAGCCAGGAGCCTGGGAATTTAAGGCCAGTCTGGGAGACTCACAGTGAGGCCGTGTCCCAAAACCAAACAACACTCCTCAAAACCCCTAGTGATGACGCGTGCAGCAAGTTGCCGGCTGGCGTTTCCCCACCCTTGGGCCAGCCCAAGGGATAACCATAAACCAGAGGAAACATCTCACATGGGTCAGAAGGCAAGGTCAAGGTTTTAGGGAAACTTTACCTGATGAACAAAGCATACAGGGCAACAATATCAAAACCCAAGCCAGGCATGGAGGAATACAAGTCCTTGGACTTGGGAGGACAAGACAGAAGAATCTTGGTAAATTTCAGGCCAGCTTGATTTTAGGCTAACCAGGGCTACGTAGTGAGACTCAGTCTTAAAACAAAGCAAAACAACCCACCCCCCACACACAGAAGAAAATGGTACCTTTTGGTCAAGGTCACTTGTTAGGAACTTGACTGCTACAGGCTCTGTGGGCTTCTTTTTGGCCTTTTTGCTCTTCCATTTTTGAACGAGCTCTTCCGGCTGACAAGATGCAAAGAGCAACCCAAAAATCTGGGCGGCTGTGAGCCACACCCAGTTGTGCGGATGTCTGAGGTGCGCGTGCACATGACCTGAAAGAACAATATGCATTCTCAGCTGCCTCGCGCTTTTCCGAGTCCCTGGCGGTAAACATGATGCGTGGAGGCCTCTTATGTGCCGGGACTGAGGAGCCAAAGAGGAAAATAACTGTCCTGTTTTCCAGGCAACAGAAGTCAGGGAGACACAGGAAAGAATTCTAAAACTGACTCTGCCTGCTGACTGCCTGATGCTGAGTACATGAAACCCCACAGCTCCCCACGAGCTGGCGCCCAGGAGTGAGCTTCAGAGTCCCACTCCTGGGAGATAAGATGCTGTGAAGAATGCATTTTAGGGTGAGTGATGTAAACAGGGATACAGGTACAAGCTGAATCCTGACAGCGAAGCGATGGCGGGAAAATGGTCATGTATTTACTGAATGCTCTCGACCAAGTGTGTACCACGTCAGTTCCCGTAGATATCACACTGTGGTGAGGAAATGCAGCTTCAGCTCAGAGACGAGCAGAGACGCCCTAGGGAGGCTGGAATCACCTCACCCAGAACTAAGGCTTCGGTACAGCAAACAGGGCTGCCCGTCATCACCACACTTGGCAAGTGCCAAGTCTGCTGTGGCTGTAACCACGGCATTCTACGTAAAATCCACGCACCGGCTAACCTAGGCTTGTGTATTAAATTACTTTACTTCAGTCCCCACCTCATCTTATCCCTTCTCCCTCCCTCTACTTCTTTTTATTAAAAAGTCCCCCAAAGATAATTCTTATCTGTAAGTCACATCTTTTTTTTAAAAAAAATATTTATTTCCAAAACTAACTCCCAATTAATGTCCTTTGTTTCATAAATGAAATGTACTAGTGAGGAAGAAATACCCCCTCCCTCCCAAATAACTCTCCAGTGTAATAATCTGATGGGCTCCTTTATGTTTTCTTCCTCAGGAACTTACATTTACTTTCTGTACTGTTCTTGCTCAGATTTCAAGTATTTCCAATAATTCTATCACAGCTACTGCGTTGTTAAATAAAATACTTACTCCAGATTTTATTCAACGTCTCAGAGGGCTTGGTGAAGTGAATAATGTTACATTCCTTGACGAGTTTGCTTATCAGCGTGAGAAAACCAAACAGCAGGCGATCTGCAGCTTTCTCCTCCGTCTCCTCTACGATCTAAACACAGGGTGAGCGTGTGCCAGTTAATGGAATGACCTGGAAGTGCCCAGTACATGCGCTCTGCAGCACGTCTGTCTCTGCAGGTTTCCCAACCACGGCAACGGAGATTACTCCCCAGCCACTTACCAATGACACCACTGCAAGTCCACCCTCCACTTGTGATAACCAAAACTGTTTTTGGATATTGCCGATTGTACCTGTGGTAAGACGCCCTGGCTGAGTGCCTCCGATCGTCACACACCATGGAAGGCAGCTTACTTTAGAGACAGCTTCTCACTGTGCATCAGCACAGCAGGCTGCCCTTGCTTGTTTTGGTGGTGCTCAGGGCTTGGGCATGCTGGTAAGCATTCTTTCAATGAAATACACCCTTAACCCCTAGGCCCCATTTTAAAAAGTTCCAGCTGCACTGGATTCGTGATTTTCCTTAAGAAAACTGCATTTTCAATGAAGTATTAGCTATACCAACTCAACCGAGTGCTTTCATAAACATTTCCCAAGTTCTAGCACCTAGCAAATCACTTACGTCTTTAAAGTTCTCAGGATCAACCTCCTTTTCAATCACAGGAAGAAGAGCTCCAAGCCTTCTCTCGAAATCAACTCCTTCACTCTCCACAAATAAGCCGCAGGCCAGGGCAGCTAGCTGTCGGTTTAATCGCTACCCAGAACAAAGCACAGCAAGATGCAGGATTACAGGAAGGAGGAGGCAGGGTCAGCACCAGAGACAGGAGGAGAGGAACAGCCGCCCTTTCTGTGCAGTCCTGGCTTCACCTACGTCTATTTACCTGGCGTCAGTGGATGTGGATGGCAGGGAACTAGAAAAGGGCTGGCCCATGGGAGAGGGAAAGGAGGGTAAGGGAGGGACAGGAGGATAATATAATAAAACTTCAAATAAGAGGGGAAGGGGGAGCTGCTGGGGAAGGGAAGGTCCAAGTCAGATGGGGGCCAGAGTGGGTGGAGGGTCAACCAAGCCAAGCATGGATGAAACTATAGTTTTCAAACAGGAGAAGAAAATAAATGAAATCACAGCTGAACTCCCTAAAAGATGTCCAGCAGCGATGGTGACAGTGTTGAGTGGGACACTGCGTTCTGGACACTGAAGAATAGCAGTGATGCAGAAGCACCAGGGCACTCGTGCAGTGGGTGCCGAGTCTGGTTAATATTAATGATTCTGCGCACAGCTGGTGTTTCTGTCTCTCTGTAGCTTCTTAGGCTCTGGGAGACTAGGAGCATACTATCTACATGACGACACACCAACAAGGCTGTCTGGGACAGGCCGTTTCAACAGTGCACCTAGCATGTATTCTGGTATAAACTATGCACAAAAGCTAAAATGTGTCCAAAAGCAACACTAACCTTTTTCGCTTCAAACCAGGAGGTCACCATACCGAAGAGCCAGTCCCTCTTCTCGACGCTGACCTTGCCAAGCAGGGATTTGATGGCCATGGACGCCATCCTCTTGCACATGGCGGAGCCATCGTTCACCATCATCAGGCAAAGAGGGATGAAGAACATCCCGCAGTTGTCATGGAGCAGGCCCTACGGGAGAGCAGGCACTGGTGAGATACCTGGGTGGGACAGCGACGAGACGCAACAGAGCAGAGCCAGGGCGTCCGGGCCCCGGGTAACAGTACCTGAGGGAAGGTGTCAAAGAGATAGGCAATCATTTCCAAGGCGGATTCTCTTCCAGTTTCGTGTTCATAACTAGGGCGAGAACATTAGGCAGACTCAGTATCTCGTGATTACTCTTAAATTAAAATATCAGCTTGTCACTCATTTCTTGAAGAACTGGGCACTACCCCATTCCCCCAAGGCCAACGACTGCACGGACCATCGAGCTGCCGTTACAGAGAGCAGACCTCTCACAGGAGTCTCAGGGGCGCCGAGAGCAGCAGCACAGAGGAAGTGCCAGCGCACTCAGGCCGTCCTCGCCAGACAGGCCCCACATTAAAGGGAAGAGACGCCACCTCTCTGTTCCTGTGTCTGCACTTACTTCAGCTGAGCAAGCAGGAATTCCAAGTTTGGTCTCAATTTATCACCGAGGGGATAGTCAAGAATGTATTTCAGAAAAACCTAAGAACGAAACACACAGTTGATTATCCAGATTTCAATTTGCCCAGCATTCCCCAGGACGGCCTTCCCGACCTCCTGCCCTCGAAGCTCGAGTCTCAGAACACAGCAGCAGCACCATACACAGCAGTCTTCAGAACCCAGTCAGAGGGTGGCCCTCTGCCTGAAACAGCAAGGCTAGCAGGTGTGGCCCAACCTTCACTACGGTAATAAGTTCTCTCTCCACACCTGTCTGCACTGGACCCTGGCAGGCTCGTTCTGCGCAGAAATTGCCAAGCTGGATACTTTCCGCATGATATCATCAATTTCTGGGACCAATAATTTTCTTGATAAAATAGCCTAAAACATAAAGAAAAAAGACAAACAAATTCATCCACCGATGGATACAGGTAGGCACGATGTTAAAGCAGTCACAGGCAGCTTTCAATCACAATGACAATAATCAAAAGAAAAAGTACAGACTTACAAGGGTTGAAATGGAAAACTCTAAATAATGTAGTAGCTCATAGTACAACAACAAAAAGATCCTCTAATATGATAAACTAGAGCACATGAATCTGTCCACAGCGCCGCAGGCTTGGGTATATATGTATGTATGCATGCATGCAATGACAGGGATTGAACCCAGGGCCTTTCCAATCCTAAGGAAACGTTTTATTACTGAGACAAATGCCCAGGCCCTCTGAAAATGTCACTATAGATCAAATGTTTCAATACTATGTTAGGGGCAGGAGAGATGGCTCAGAGGTTAAGAGCACTGGCTGTTCTTCCAGAGGTCTTAAGTTTAATTTCTAGCACCCACATAGTGGCTCACAACTGCCAACAGCTGTGGTCTCATGGGATCCAATGCTCTCGTCTGGTATGCAGACATACATGCAGACAAAATACCCATAAACATAAACAATTCTTTTTAAAAATGCTCTATTAGCTTATATCTAAGAAAATCACAATAACTTTGATCAATTCTTTAATTTCAGAAGTTCAAGTAGTATGCTCCATATTATTTTAAGGATTTGATGCACGTACATAAATGTCCAAAACCAACATTTGGCAACACCGTACCTTGAGAAGACCAAAGGCAGTAGCCTGTCTTGTGGTGTCATAAATGTCTTCCTCAGCGTACGCCAGGAGAACCTGAAGCTGTTTCTCACTTATTTGGCAGGACTTGACCTTCTTGACCACGATGGTCACACACTGTAAGTCACAACAGTGAGTCAGCAGCAGCCCCCCAAAGTGAGGTCTAAGGAAATGAAAAGGCCTCAACAACACCTAGGAAACAAATATGACTGAAGGACGGGATGCGGACCCAGTCCCGGCTCTCAGAGGGCGACTGTTTCTCTCACCTTGAAACAATTCACTACCAGGTGGAAGTTCTGGCCCCGGGCAGCCCCCAGTCTTGCATAGTTCTTCAGCAAGAGGAAAAGGTGCTTGGTCAGCTGTCCTGCTTTTGTTTCTATGGAAGGCAGAGGGAACCGCAAGACCCAGATCAGGCACTGCAAAGCGCCCGTGATCACCTGAGAAACAGAATGCAGAGCTATGAATGACTCGGCACATGGGAAAGCGCCCGTGATCACCTGAGAAACAGAATGCAGAGCTATGAATGACTCGGCACATGGGAAAGCGCCCGTGATCACCTGAGAAAACAGAATGCAGAGCTATGAATGACTCAGCACCCGGGCAAGGGGAGATGAGGGAGCATTAGACTGTGCTGAGCCCAGCATGAGCCCACAGAATAGAAGCTTCTCATTTCTGCACAAAACCGGCTTTTTAGATTTATTTATGTGATGTGTATAAGTGAAGAGCCCATCAGTCCCTCTGGAGTTCGAGTTACAGCTGGCTGTGAGTCATGTGGGTGCAGGGATGAACCTGGATCCTCCGCAAGAGCAGTGTTCTCAACTGCTGAGCCACCTCTCCAACCCCAAGTCAAGAAATGACCCCCTTATCACGGCAAGTGAAGGCAGATCCTGAGCAAAAACAAAGTTCTTAAGGATTTGGGTAGACGGGACAATTTCAGGATTTTTTTTTAAAAAATTAACTTGCAATTGCTTTCTATTTTCTAGAATGACAATACAGTGTAGCCATCTTTACTAAGTCTGTGTTCTATATACAAAGCCCTCCTGGGTATCCTTAGAGCTGCTACCACCACTGCTACCTTTGTTATTGGAATTTCGATCTCACTGTGACAAAGTAAAGTCTACCTTGAATCAGGGGTGGAGCTAGCAACCAGTTGACCAGAATTGGCCATAGAGATGCCAGCAATTTGGATAGAGAAGACACACAGGAAGGAGAGAGCTAGAACATGAATTTGGGCTTCCTTTTTGGTTATGGGACAAGTGAAGAGATGTGTTTCTTGCTGGGTCTCTGGCCAAAAAACAAGGTCAGTTGGCTGCTCCTGGCTTCTCTAACCTAGCAGTTTTCACCCCCATAACTGATTTTGTAGGTAAATAGAACAACAGAGACTTAGTTTAAATGTATGTTTAGAGGCCACGGGAGAGCGAAGTGAGGCTGCAGGACCAGAAGACCCTTCTGGCCATTGCCTGAGAGGCCAGTGGGATGCTGACATGATCAGATCCAGGGCCCTCCCACGCTAGGTGACTGTTTGCCGTGGATCTACATTACCAGTACACTGTGGACATTATAAATACAAAGATAGCCATGGCGGCGCAAGCCTGTAATCTCACCACTTGGGAGGCCGAGGTAGGGAGATCTTGAGTTTGAGGCCAGCCTGGGCTACACAGTTAAGAGTCTGTTTCAAAACCCCCAAAATAAATACACACATAACTTCTGTGTTACGAGACAACTGGCTCAAAATGAGGCTTAAGAACAAGTACCGTCTAATATGGATAAGAACAAGGATGGGGAAAGCGTGTTAGTGCTCCGTGCTTACAGACAATTCCTAAATTCACAGGGGTCAGAGAGCTCTGCAACACCTGACACACTCCCTCTAGTACCCTGCACCCTCACTGGGTTGGATTATGAAGAGAAAGAAAGAGCCTGGTCACTGGGCAGTGGTGGCGCACACCTTTAATCCCAGCACTCGGGAGAGCCTGGTCACTGGGCAGTGGTGGTGCACGCCTTTAATCCCAGCACTCGGGAGGCAGAGGCAGGTGTTTTCCTGTGAGTTCAAGACCAGCCTGGTCTACAGAGTGAGTTCCATGACAGGTTCCAAAGCTACACAGAAAAACCCTGTCTCAACCCTCCCCCAAAAAACCCCCAAAATAAACAAAACGAAAAAACAACCTTGGTCATCTGAAAGTCCTGAGCTTAAATCTGAGATTTTTAAGTGATAGCCCGTGCGACTGTGGAGAGGTGGGGGCTCCGGAGTCCAACAGACAGAGGTTTATCCCCTAGGTCAGGATTAGCCGCCAGACCCTAGCTTCCTCATGAAAATCTGCCTTGGGCTGGGTACAAATCTCAGAGGTACAGCACTTGTTTAGTGTACACAAAGACTTAGGTTCATTAAAGCAAAATCTGGAGGCTGGAGATAGAATTCGTTGCTCTTCAGAGGAGCCAAGTTTGGTTCCTAGAACCCACATCAAACAGCTCACAACTGCCTGTAACTAGAATGTCAGGAAATCCAGTGCCTTCTTCTGGCTTCCTTGAGCATTCAAATATATATATACATATACACACACACATATATATGTATGTATACGTATATATATACATATGTGTGTGAAAAATATATATTTATATATAATATATATATGTGAAAAATATATATGTGTATACACACACACATATATAAAAGGAATCTGTAAGATAATGACAATGGTGACCATGTTGAAGATGCAGATCACTGGCCTGGGGACACCACTGCAGGTGTCTTGAGAATCAAATCAGACACTTAAAAGGACTTTCACAGATGTGAAGGGCTCTCCACCAAATGAGACTTTACGTACACGCTGGGGCCCAAACCCAGTCCCTACTGCTCACACACCATGAACCCATGAACTCTGTGGACTGAGCCTTCTTCCCCACAGGTCATCTTCAGTGAAGCAGAAGATAGTACAGTGATGGCTGCACTAAATCCCTTTATAAACTTGGTCATCTCAAGAAGCCCCAGTGGTCCACAGGACAGACAATCCGACACGGACCAACACCCACCTTCACATCCTTGGCGTCCAGGCAGTTGATGAGGACTTCCACAAAAGGGTCCAACATTTCCAGAACATGCTCACTACTAGACTTGACCTTGGAAGTCTTCAGACTCAGATGTAGCAGCTAGAAGGTTTGAAGCAGAATCTGGCATTATTTCCCCGGAACACAAGGTAGGCGAGGTAAAGGAAGGGACTTGAAGAAACAAATGTAACGTTTCAAGATGCTTCTATTTTCAAAATAATAAAAGGAAATGAAGAAATCTAAGAAGTGAGCTCAGAAAGGCAAGTGCGTGGGAACAGAGCCTGCAGCTGAGACACTATTCAGCACCTACTGGACCCCAGGCACTGGCCGGGGGCATGGCACAGCAGTGACCAGGGCAGACCAGGTCCCTGTCCTGAGGACTCTGAGTGAGGCACAGACTCAGGAGAGTGAGGTGGCTTTAGAGCGGAAGGGAAGCGAGGCTCATTGCAATATACGCTGGGACAGTGAGTAGGGCCTGGAGCCCGCAGCGCAAAAGAACCAGGAAAAAACGCCAGCCACAGGAACTAAAATGACCATTTAAAAAAAAAAAAATTTCTTCATCAAAAAAAAAAAAACCAAAAAAAAAAAACAAAAACAAAAGCAAAACCAACCAACCAACCAAACAAACAAAACCAAAACCAAAACCGTGCTATTCTAATAACTACCAGGTCATCAAAGATGGGCCGAGAGAGGTGGCGCACACCTGTTATCCCAGCTCTCAGGCTGAGGCCGGCAGACTGCTGGCAAGTGTTAGCCCAGCCTCGTCTATACAGAGAGATCCGGGTCAGCCAGGGGTGCCTACTATTGGAATAGTATTGGTAGAGACAAACAGTAACTCAACAAGGGCACCCAGTGTGTCTGCAATTAATTCACAGTGTAGCATTTGTGCAGAGGCAAAGGGCACCTAGGACTCTGCAGACAGCCAAACAGGAAGTGAGGTGTAAGGGGGTCTCACCCGAAGACCAGACTCGATGAATATGTGCATGTTGGTTCTCTTGCTCACAATGGCCTTTGGCCCACCTCGGACTGGAACTGGGGGGAGCAGAAGGCAGCTTTGGGGTGGCAGTCGTGTATCAGGCGCGGGGGCTGCTGGCTTCCTGTCAATCAATCACAGAGGAAGAGAAGAGAAAGAGCACTGGCATCTGCTCCAGGGAAGCGCTGCGGCCTTGTGCAGACAACGGAGGGCTGACCAGGGTTACAACCCCTAACAACAGAGGGCAGACTAAGGAGCGGATCTGAATGGAGAGGATACCTAGGGTGACAATTTGAAAAGAAATGCCAAGGTCTCTTTTCAGAACACAGAGCAAAATCCAAAGAATGGGCATGAGATATTTTCAGATCACTTAAGTTCTACATCTCTTTTAATCAGAACAGGAATATATTTCAAATCTAGTCTGCCATTCAGTAAATATTTAAAATAAAAGCACCATCAAAGAATTATATGAAAATAATTGGCTACTGTCTTTTAAACCACCTCATTAAGAGAAAAACAATCTTTCAAAAACTTTTTTATTTTATTTTTTATACTCTGAGACAGGGTCTATGTAGCCTTGGCTGTCCTGGAACTCACTATGTGTGCAGCCCAGGCTGGCCTTGAATTCAGAGACTCCCCTGCCTCTGCTTCCCGAGTGCTGTGTTAAAGACATGCACCACTACACATGACAAAAACAGTCTATGTTGAAATCACCACTTGGAAGGCTCTCAGCCCAAACAGCACAGAGCTAAGAATTTTGCTATCTAAGCTAGGCTGCATCAAATTTTCAAATCTTCTGCCTCTGCCTCCTGCGCACTGGGATTGCAGGCACGCACTGATGTGCTCAGTTAAACTTTGTTTCACACTACAGCAGATTAAATAATGCACTTCAGAGACGGTGACTGAGGGGCTCCCATAACTTACTTTTCCTTTTCCGTTAGCAGCGGCAGGTTTTCACTGACCAGGCCGTAGCTGAGCAGGAGAAGAGACTCTGCTGTCATGTCTGGATTCACAATTAATCCTGCTATAATCCGGCGTAAGGTTTCGTGAACTTTCCGGGCAAGTTTTAAACTCGTGGTGTTTTGCAGGATCTAAATTAGCAAACAGAACAGCGTGCTGATGGACAGAGCTGTGTTCTCACTGGCTGCAATGGCTCTTCCACGTACTGGCTTCCCAGTGTGCTCTTTTTCTAACTGAAGACTGTACAGCACGACATCTTCAGATAGATACCACATATAAAACAGACGTTAGTCACAACCTGTGAACTGAAGTCTCCAAAAGAAAACAGTCTACAAGGAACAACTAACTCCCCAGTGGCTGTGGAGAGCCGAAATGTTGCAGGCCCGGAAAGAAACATCTCAGGCTGTCTCTAGCCCACAGACGGCCATTTACCGTGCACCCCCGTGTTTGACCTCACATCCTTGTGGTTATTGTAACAATCCCTTAGGGGAACGTAGGGGATTCCCAAGCCATAACACAGGGGGTCACTACAGGGCTCTCCGCTTTATTGTAACTGACCTACCCCATGTTTCCATGGCGTCTTTCTTTCATTCATTCATCCATCTATGTATGTTTTCTTGAAACAGAGTTTCTCTGTATAGCTCTGGCAGTCCCGGAACTCACTTGAACTCGAGACCCACCTGTGCCTTCCTCCCGAGTGCTGGCATTAAAGGAGTGCACCACCACTATCTGACCTACAAGCTATTTTTAAAAAGTCTTGATTACTTTGTTTCTTCTGTGACTATAACTTCATAAATCTGTTGCCATGCTGGAACATGGTATGAGGTGATGTGAATTCATGGTCACTCATTTCTGGCTTCAGAATAATAAAGAACATCAAATCCCATAATCCTTTCAGGGGAGAGCTGTGCTTTTTTTGGCAGCCTCTGCTCTAGAGACAATCACTGTGACTGGTATCTGTGCTCATGGATTCCTTCCATTCCCGTGACCCCCCTTCCTGCTGGTGAGGCTCAGGGCACAGTGCTGTAGGTATCTGCGAAGTACACTAGTGGGGGTGCATGGCAGGCGTGTGCACGTGCACCCACACACACCCCAATCAATAAAATGCACATTTTAAATAATAAGCCCACCACACACACCCCAATCAATAAAAATGTTATTTAAAAGGAACCATGTGAACTAAGGACTGGGATGGCCAGGTTTTAGGAACAACTCGGAGAGGCTTGATGGGAACTTGGGATCGTCATCACCTCAGGAAAACACTCAAGCCTTTCACTGCATGAGTTCCTTTCCATCTCAAAATACAGCCAGCACCCTTAGGTCAGCACCAGACAAAACTACGTGCACTCTGGTGACAGGCCACCTACCACCAAGGCACCTGGAGATACGATAACCCACTACATGGCTGTTGGCTCCAGCTTACTACAGAAAGCTGTAAGAAAAGTCACAGTAACATCACGGCTGCTATCACTTGCACGGGCACAGCAAACAGTAAGAAAGAGGGCAAATTAGAGTCCCCGTTCTCTCAGGGGCAAAAAGATACAGCGGAAAGCAGAGTGGTTTGGAACCAAATCCTGAGTCTCTGTAACCACATTCCTTCCTACCCCTCCAGTCTGAATTTTCTACCTGTAACAGTGTTTAGAACATTTCTATTTCGTTTTAGTTATGTGTATGAGTGTTTGGCCTGCATGCATACTTGTGCGCTCCCGGTGACCTTAGAGGCCAGAAGAAAAGTGTCAGATTTCTTAAATTGTAGTTATAGATGGCTGTCCTGTGGGAGCTGGGAATTGAACCTATGTCTTCTGGAAGAGCAGACAGTGTTCATAAACATGAATCATCTTCCCAGACCCCATGTTTAGAACATTTAACGGCAGCATTCTTATGCTTGGCGATATGGGAGTTGTTTTAAGTCCAAAGACACAGAGGTAAAATTCGCTCATTCTCCAACTCTTACTGCCTTTCCTCTGACATCTTCTCCCTATCAAGGACGCTGATTTGCTGACCACAGCACCTCAGTCAAGCTGAAACTCATGGGACTTGTCTGTTAAGCGCAAAGGCAACCCTGGGGGGGATCATGGACAGTGTTTGCTCTGAAAGGCTCTTTCGGAGCTCAAACAGAATGTTCAGTATTCCTGGATCTTGCTCCTTACCTCTTTTAATGGAAGAATAAGTTTTGTGACCTGATCTTTTCCGACAAACTTGCCCAGGATTTCGTAAGAATCGTAACTCTTGCTCCTCCGTGCCTCCATGACTTTGGACAGAATCTGCTTTACCTCCTTCTCTTCCGCTAGGGCGCCGAACAATTCGTGGTTAAAAATCTTTGGAAAGAAGGAAGGAAGGACAAGTGGCAGAGATGAGCACTCAGCAAAGCAGACCCACACAAGAAGTCTGGGCAGGTGCGCCTCCGCAGGACCCAATCAGAGCTAGATTGGCCTGAAACGCGAGGGGAGCAGCTTTTGCTACAGCACACGCATTTTTAATTAGAAAACCAGTTCAGAAACACAAGAACTAGAGCAACATGCTGAGGTCCATAAAGCCTCATATTTGCAACTTAATCATTGGAAAAAAATAAAAATTTTGAAATTGAGACTCAAAAATTAGAGCCTACGTTCTAAAATTAGTGAACAAAAGGTTGTGTCAAGTTTATTATATTGCTAATCCTACCTCCCAAATCATTTAAATCATTTAACTTTAAAAGTTAAGTATTACCTTTTTAATATTATAAAGCTCTGATTGAATGTACTTTCAGCTTTTTCAACAAATCCATGATATATCTCTGATTACTCCTTTAACCTGGATTACTGGAGATAACTGGACATTTTTATTTCAAATGTTGTTGACATGAAATGCCAACATTTTGAAAAAGGTTAAATCAACTTATACACTAGCAACAACAGAATGCCCATCGCATGAAGGCGTAGCTTTTCTAACTTCCATTAATCTAAAACACACAGACAGTAAATTCTGTGTGTGCATGTTCATTGAGGTTTAAACCTGGGGGGGGGGGCTTCTACATACTAAGCATCCACCACTGAGTGAAACCTTGCATTCTATTTTCATTCTAATAGTCTATTTTTATTTCTTACTTGTGAACTGCTAAAATGACCACTACCCACTTAGGGAAAGCAGAATTGCACCCTGCGAATCTTACCTCAGTCATTATTGGCAGACAAGGGTCTAAGTCCCCAACTTGCAGCTTGCTGGTGAGGCCTTGCAGCAATGTGTAAACAGTGAAAGTGAGCACGTGGACCTAAGACGAGAGACACAGTCAGAATGGAAATGGCTAACAGAGCCGCACGTGAGGGTGCTGGCCATAACTCAAGGGTCCTGGTGTTAGTTACTGCTCAGAGCAGTTGAGACATGCTACCACAGGTCATCACTTAAGGCCCTCTGACAGAAGGACGGCTTTGTACAAAGTGCAGTGTGCCCAGAAATAAACGGTGTGCTTAGTGCCGCAGTGACTGGTGAAGGAAAGGCACTCAGATGCACACGAACAAACTGCTGAGAAACAGATCAGTCTTTAAAGCAGCCGAAAAAGAGCGTGTTACTTGGAAGGTAGCAAACAGAACAGCTCAGCACAAAGAGGGGTACAATGCTTGTAAAACGGTAGAATTCCATATTCAGGAGGGATTCCCTTTTTAGGAATGAAGGCGAGATAAAGGCTTCCCAGAAGAAAGGAAACGAGAACCCACTGCCTCCAGTTCCACACTCCACATGATTGCTAAAGGGAGTCCTCCGGGTTGAAGGAGCATTAGCAGACATGCCCAAAGAACAGAGAAGCAATGCTGGCCACCTAGGGTGGGACTACTTTCCGCCTCTGACGTTTTTCAATGTATTTGACTATTGAAAACAAAGTTACCTTACTGTGTGAAGTTCCCAATCCTCAAAGACAGAAGCAACAATAATACAGGAGTAGGAGAAGACCTACGTGGTGGTGGTTTCACCTGCTCCTCATACACCGTTAAAACACATATGCTGATCTCTACCTATATGTATGAATGCTAGCAGAAAAAGCCACAGAAAGAAGGAATACTGAATTTAACTTAGAACAGTTTCCTTACACCAAACTCAGCTGTGACTAGAAACATGAATGATGGTGATGGTGTTTGCTTGCTCAATCAGCTTTCTTTAAAAAAAAAAAAAAATTATTTATTATGTATACACTGTTCTATCTGCATGTGTCCCTGCAGGCCAGAAGAGGGCACCAGATCTCATAACAGAGGGTTGTGAGCCAACATGTAGTTGCTGGGAACTCAGGACCTCTGGAAGAAGTCAGTGTTCTTACTCTCTGAGCCATCCCTCCAGTCCCTCGCTCAATCAGCTTTACTGAAGACAGACCTGAAGTACTGACCCATGTGCTATGAAATGCCGCACTCACCTGGTACCCACGAACAAGGGTCGTCTGTAACTCTTTGAGAACATACTGCAGGAAGTGCACACCCAGATCTTCGATTATTTTGGTGAGAGTACTGCGTGCAATGTCCCTGACTTCCTGGGCTCTGTTCTTGAGGAGGACGCACACTTTCAGCAAAACACTAGAAAACGCAAAGGCGAAACATAACCAAGAGACAGAAACATAAAAACACACCCGTCTGTTTGTCTCTTACTGATTCACAAGCCGAATGCTCAGTTAGGACCTGAGCTACAGCAAACCATGGCAGTGTTTCTCTTTCTGACAAAAGGAATTAGAAGCCAGGGGAAAAGGAGTAAATTCTGAGTCTCTCTGAACTTTCATCTGTCATATGACATACCTGGGCAGATTTGCCTCCATGACCTCCTGAGGGAGGGACCGCATCAGCTTAACCATGGCAAAGGCCAGGGGGACCCGGACCACTTCCTCCTCATTCACAACCTTTGACTTGACCAGCTTGTGCTCTTCCTCCCTTTTGGTCTGTAAGAATTAGAATTTGGGGGAAATTCAAACACTAAGGACCACGAAGGCCTGCCAGCACTCTACCCTGCATCTGACTGTCTCCTTTGCCCCAACTTGATCCTGGCTGTAGCAGGAGATGCTGGAGCAGTCCTTACCGCAGATGCCAGGCACTTGTGCAGCCTGGGGAGGATGTCCCCAGTTATGGCTCCTTGGATGGTTTTAATTGTTCTTTCTAACTCTTCCTTATTCCGAGGAAGGAAAGAAACAGACTTCAAGATGCACTCTTGTTCCGTAGCTGTTGTCCCACCAGAATCAGCTGCCTTGGGGGCTTCCAGTGGCTCCTTGCTGTCCAACAAACTCTTACAGGCTTGTTCCTTCTCTTCCTCATCCTTACAGGCTTGCTCCTTCTCTTCCTCATCCATAGGCTCCAATTCCGTGGCTTCATGTTCCAGTAACTCAGCCATCTCAACTGTGTCTGTAACAAAAGTCACCTTTAACTAAATAAAGAAATGTCACAATCGGGTATGGGGTTCATACCCGTCTACAATTTTAACCAGAACCTTAGCACTCAAGGTCGAGAAAGGACGATTAAAAAGTTTGAGACCAGGGGAGCTACTAGCCAGACCCTGTCTCAAGATAAAGAGGCAGTGGAGATGAAAAGAGGAAGAGGAGGTGACCATGATGCCGACAATGAAGACAAAGCCGTGCAGCTCTGATAAGCGGCCCTTTCTATGAATAACTGTCACCCACTAGTTAATACTGATTTCCAATACAGGCAGGTAGGAGAATAGCGGAGGAAGCAGCAGGGAGTGAGAGGCTGTGGGTTTCACTTTCTCACAGTCGAGAGTCTGATGAGGAACAGAGACAAGGAAACAGGCAATTATAAAAGCATGTGGCCTGGCCAGGACGGGTCATTTGAGAACAGTCAGGCAGGGTGGGGTGGGGAGCATGCTGGGATTAGGATTCTTAGCCAACAGAAGGTTTCCTAAGCAGCGGGCTAGAGTTCCTACAGCAGAAACCCCCATTTACAAGACCGGCCCAGCTGCTGCTCTCATGTAGAAACTTTCCTTCTGGGATTTAGCTTACTTTTACTTTTGGAGAGTTAGGTAGAACCGGGGCCTAGCGCTTGCTTGTGCAGCTACGGCACACTGAAGACAATGAGACAGTGAAGTACTGGGAGGCAGCCGGTCATAACCCTGTTAACACACCATCTCTGTGAATCACTTCTCTCCCTGTGCGTGGTCAACTCCTCACCAGGGAAAGGGAAAAGGCACTCCTCTGAGAATTAAATGAAGTAAATTCTGTAACTATCTAAACTTGCTTGTTATCCCACCAACTATTAAAAAAGGTGGTCATGATGTCCCTGTGTCCTTTGCCAGCTGTGATACGTGGTTGTCTTACGTGGCTGAAGCTCAGTTTCTCCTGTGAAAATCCAGGTAACTGATGGGGTTCTTGACAGGTGCCTGCCAGGATGACAAGGATACTGCCCTCTGCTCAAAAAACTGCCTTCATTAGCATCTCATTGTTGCTCAGCATTTTTTGTTTCTGTTTGTTTGTTTTTGTAGACCAGGCTGGCCTCGAACTCTCAGAGATCTGCCTGCTTCTGCTTCCCGAGTGCTGGGTCTACAGATTGTGCCACCACACCTGGCTTGTTAAACTAACATATGGAAATAGGAACCAGGAAATGAAGAACTCTGAGCTCAGCATCATAAAGAACTGTAAGTCAAAGATGCTCGTCATCCTCAACCTTGGTCCAGTGCTGATTCAGGCTACTCTGGGAAGATGGCTGACTAAGAGGTCAAGGGTCTGGCTGTGTCTCAATGTGACGGCATGCTTTGATGCTGTTGCAATCTAACGACAGAGCAGGTTGCTGCGGAGGAAAGAGAAGGAGGAAGAGCCGTCCTGAGGCAGAGAAGGAAAGTTCTGTCTGGGCCCAGGATCTCACTGCGGTACTCACAGACAGATCCCCACACATTAGGGAGTCAGACCTCTAGGGAAGTAAACAATGGCCCAGAAGTTTACATTGTATAACTTAGATGTGCCTCCTGCTCAGGCTGCTAAGATGTCATGAGAAGCCATTCATTTAGTTCCGCTTCTCTCTGACTCAGTAACTGCTCCTTACTACAAAGAGAAGAAAAAGCAGTGCATTTTGCCAACAAGTTACCCATGAATAGAGTAGGAATCTAATTTAACAAAGCTTCAAACGTACTCTCCTCACTTTCTTCACTTGTAACATTTCCCATTTGCTCTTCAAAAGATTTGTAGTCAAAATGGAAGGCTTCCAACACTATCACCAGCAAACTGTCAAGAAAGACAGAGAGACCCTCTGATTAGCAACATCATCTATGAAGGGAGAGGGGACGCGAACGTGACACTCAGTAACCACATCCAGACAGCGAGTCTTCGCGACCATCTCACAAAGACCTATCCAGGAAGCAAAGCCCAGGTTCCGTGTCAGAGACAAACACAACTGACTGTACCTGACGCCCAGCTTCTGGTTGACCTGGCCTGACTGCAGGACGTGGATGAAGTGTTTCAGGTAATACACGTACGCTGGCCACGACAGGTGTCTGCAGACGGCGCCAATGACCTCCGTGGCGGCAATGGCTATGTTCTCATGCTGTAACACAAGCCGAGAGCACCAATGCACGAGTGATCGCTAATAAAGCACAAGGTTATCTGGTGAACTCCACAGGGCGCCACCGGGAATTACAGAAGGAAAGAGACTACCTGTTCTTCCACTGGCCAGTTCACCAGTCGCTGTCACAGAATACCGATTTGGACACTGGGTGTTTGACAAATAAATCAGACTTAGCCCTTTCCTACCCCAGTCACTGCAAAGAATGGCATCAATGTCTTTAAATTCTTTAATATTCATTAATATTAATATACTCTGAATTCTTTGCAAAAAAAAAAAAAGAAAAAAAAAAAGCTGTGACCAAGGTCCAAACCTACACACTATTGCTCTTAAACTAGAAAAGTGGTCAGAAATAAACCCAGTTGTCACACTCTGGATGTAAGATGCAGCAAGACCACAGTGCTCCCCAAGAGGAAGGATAGGGAGTGAGTGCTTCCATGACCTGAATTTCCCGTACACAGAGACCTGTGGGGTTCCCATATAGAATAATTCCAGAAGAGTCTGCTGGTCTCTGAGTTAGAGACAGGCTGCGCATGGCAGCTGCAGTCTCCAGGGAGCAGTAGTCCACGGTACAGCGAGAGGGCCGCTTGAAGGAAGGTTCTTTGATTTGAACGGACACTAATCAGTGTACACAAGTAAGGAGAGACAGTCGTCAGGGCCCAGCTAAGGATGGTCCTTCGCCCTCTCTCTAGCGCTGAGTGAAAAAGGCAGGAACATGCGAATGGGCATGGCGGAGTGAGGAACACCAGCAATTATACATGCAAGCAATTAGAAAAGAACTCTCCCCTATTGACCTTTCAGAAGACAATGGCAGTTTACAAAGCAGTAAGAATATTTTCTGGGTGTTTACAGCTAAAACAGGGGTTAAAAGCAAGTGACAAAATACTTTTGTGATCAATAAGGCAACAGAGGAAAAAAAATCACAAATATCAGGATCAACCACAAGAAGGAAAATGAAAGATAAGTAACAAGATTGTAGATCTCAACCCAACCTTATGAACAAACATGTGAAGTGCAAACTGTCTAAAGCTAGTTCTCGGGAGTGGACAGACAGACTGGACATACAACGGGGCCCTGAGAAACAGCCTGGAAGTCACAAGGACGTTTGAAGGTGAAGGTTCTAAGAGACACTGTGCCAACACCAAAGAAACCTAGGCAGATCCTCTCCAGCTGGGTCCGCTCACATGTCAGTGCCTTTAGACGCTTGGGTTGGTTGTTCTTGCAAGCTTTAATTAAAACTGGGATTTAAAGAACCTTTTAAGGCTAGGTATGGTGGTCCATGACCATAGTCCTGTTACTAGCGAGGGAGAGTTGTATATTCAAGGCCAGACTGGGTTAGAGGGAACCACCCAACCCTCAAGAATACGGAGAGAAGGATGGAAGGAGCCACAGTCCCAGCACATGTGAGACTGAAGTAGTTCCATCTCTATGCGTTCGAGGCAGCCTGTTGTGGAACATTAGTTGACGATGTGTCACATGTGTTTCTGCTGTGGAACATTTGTTTAATGATGCAAACATGTGTTGCGTTCTTTCATGCTGCATTTGTTTAACTCTGTGAAGCTGTGCTACTGTGCCTGTCTACAACACCTGACGGTCCTAATAAAGAGATGCACGGCCAATAGCGAGGCAGGAGCAGGGATAGGAGAGGCTGGCAGGCAGAGAGAATAAATTGAGGAGTGAGAAAAGAAGGGTCCAGCCACCCAGCCACACAATCAGTCATGAAGGAAGAGTGAAAGTAAGGCACACAGAAGTAAGAAAAGGAAAAAATCCAGAGGCAAAAGGTAGATGGGATAATTTAAGTTAGGAAAAGCTGTCAAGAAATAAGCCAAGCTAAGGTTGGACATTCATAAATAAGACTCTATGTGTGATTTACTTGGGAGCTGAAGGGTGAGCCCCACAAACAGTAAAGAACAACAATAAAAACAAAAAAACAAAAACAACAACAGAAAACCAACCAACACCACCAGCCTCTCCTACACAATGAATTCAAGGACAGCTTGGGTACAGAGTGAGACTTGGTCTACAAACCAACCAACAACAAAAAACCCAATGAACCAACAAACAGAAGCACATCCGTAAGGCCAGCAACTGGGAAGCGGAGACCAGGTAATTGACAGTTCAAGATCAACGTGAGTCATATAGTGACATTCTTTCTCAAAACAAAACAAAAGCCAGAAATCATTTTAGACCTCTAGAAATTTCTAGGAAGGGGGTTTCATTTTTAGTGTGGCGGGTTGCCCGTGCGCACAAATAACAGGAATAAGAACATATTTATCATCTACACAGCACTGACCCTGTGCCAGCAGAGGCTCTAAAGAATCTCAACCACTTCCCTGTCAATCTAGTTCTGACAATACAGTGATGTGGTTACCAATGTTACACCCCCGAGACCTAAATGCTCACCTTGAGCATTTTCTCATCAAATATTGGAGTCATGGCGTACGGCATGATGTAATTCTGAAGCGACTTGGAAGACAGCACGACCTGCCCGTCCAGCAGTTGTTTGGCCAGTTTCTTCAAGGCTCTTGCTCGTCTGTGGATCTAGAGATTAGATGACATGGCAATGGTTACTGCACACTCCTAAAACTACCTGTGCCTCAGCTTCAGTGCTTTCTCCATGGAAAGTTTAAAGGCAGGAAACTCTGGTCATGAACTAGGTAAGCAAATACCTGGGTGTTGATTTGTTTACAGAAATGTAATCCACATCACTTAAAATGGACCCGGACACTTAGGAAAACTGGAGAAAGTTGACACTGTTGTGATTTGTGTTTGATGATGGCCGCAGGAGATGACCATCTCATATGCACATTTGGGCGATGGCCATGCAGACCAGGGAAGGAACCTGGACACCCCGGGACACCTTCCCCAGTAGGCAGAGCTGTCTGAGGTGTACTCTGAAGGCAGGAGAAACAGTCGCGCCTACCTGAATGTGCTTCATGTTCTCGAAGAAGTCCATTTCCGGGTCGTGGCGATGAGTGAGCTGCACCAGGTCCTTGAATTCCAGTTGATCGGGGAAAGTTTGAATCAAACAGGAGAGGATCGCGGTGTAATCATGCTGAACACTCTGCAAACACCAAGGGGAGGCAAAGTATTTTAAACGTATCTGTTTGCTAGTAGATGAGATAAGGTAGAAGAAAAAGTTATTCATATTTTAAGTAAATCATTTCCTTCAACGTAAGAAAAATCTGTAAAATCAAATCCAAGCCTCACCATTCCCACCCACCTCCTCCTCAACAGGCTTGGCAACTGTTAATTATTTATACTAAACCCGACTGCCCTCCAACAGCAGAAGAGGGAAAACACCCGCAGACAGTACTAATTAACAGATAAAGCTTCGTCACCTCTGTCTGGCTCTTCAACCCTTTCCTCAGTCTCTCCAGGAGTGTCCGGTGAATGATCTCCTTGTACTCTTTCTCTGTGACGTTCAAAGCAGCTAACCTCTGGATGACGCTTGTCAGGCACAGGCTGGCCTTGTCACTTAGAGACATGTCTCCTACCTGAAAACGAGAACTAGAACTGTTATCTAGTAATACAACACAGAATAATATTCCCCAAGAAAGCAAAACCCTAGAAAACCTACCTGAAAAACCCTACTAAGAAATGCCTGCGCCTGGGTAGTACTGGTGCACAAGCCTTTATCCCAGCACTTGGGAGGCAGAGGCAGGCCAGCCTGGGAAACAGAGCATGTTCCAGGATAGCCAGGGCTACACAGAGAAACCCTGTCTCAAACTCACCCCCTCAGAAAAATAAAAAGAACTTAGTTCAGAGAAGGTTTTCCCAACTCAGCTAGCAGGCAGTTTCAGACTTGATTGAAATTGACATGCTATCTGAAGAAATAAGACCTAAATAGAAACTCCCTTGCTCACATCCCAGATGAACTTCCGAGCATCACAGAGTGTAAATGCCCCAGAGTTACTTGATGCCCTGCAGCTTAGCAACGGTCATGGCTTCATTTTCCCATTTTAGATTTAATTCCATTGAGTAATACGGCACTTAATATAAACACCCTTTACTTCTTGTATCTCTTCAATAAAAGCAGACAAACCTTTAAGTAACAGTTAACCTAAAAATAAACATATTGAAATGCCATAAAATTCCTCCTTTTAAAGTATACACTTAACAGTTTTAAATTGTGTGAGCACGTGTGCATGTGTGTGTACATGTGGGTGCATATAAGTGCGTGTGTGTGTGAACAGGCACATGCCACAGTGCCACTGTGGAGGAGAGAACCAGCGTTAGGAGTCAGTTCCTGTCTTCCATCCTGGTCACCAGGCAGGGTTTTACTGCTGTGAGTACTCCAGGCTAGCCAGCTTTCAAGCTTTGGGGATTTTCCAGTCGTCCCGCCCCCACCCCCCGCCTTCCATCTGGTTTTCACATGTGTTCCGGGGACTGAACTCAGGTCATCAATCTTGACTGGCAAATGCCTTTACCTGTCGAGCCTCCGTGCTGGCCCTCAATGGGTTTTAGAATACGATGAAGGCTGTGCAACCATGGCTGACGTCTCCTTTCCAAAGGGTTTCATCACTGCCATGCCCTCCCTACAGCTCTAGGTAAACACTCGCTTGTCTTTAAGACAGGGCCAGCTGTGGTGTGCATGGTGGTAGGGTGTGCTGGAGGTGGAGGCAGGAAGATCGTGAGTCTGAGGTCTGCCTGGTCTACACAGAGTTCCCATTCAGATAGGACTCCACAGTGAGACCCTGTCTGTAAACACACACACACCAAACCAAAACACAAACCAACGAAAGACAGGGTCCTGCTCTGTAGACCAGGCTGGCATCAAACCTATGACCCTTCTGTCCTGCCTCCGCAGCAGGGAGACTGTGGAAGGGTGCTGGCATGCTCAGGTGCTGGAGAACTTGATATTTTCACAGTGCTTCCGTGTGTTTACCAACATTTTAGTCTTTCAAGTCATGAGAGTAGCAGAAAGTGTTTCCCAAAACAAAAATCTGCCCTAAAAACTGGCTGTCCTCTTTCTAAAATAAATTTAGGAATTAGGTCACTGTATTTAGTGGCATACTATCCAAACAGTCTAAGCGTGAGCCATGAACACGCACCTCCATGTTATAGAAACAGTTATGCATGACAGGGACGAGGTAGTCGGCATCCACCGTCTGCATTTCCTTTATGGTTGAGGTGATGGTCTGGAACGCTGAGAACCGCACGTCAAAGTTGATGTCATCGAGATGCCTTTTATCAAAGGCATTAAGCTACAAGATATAACGGGAAAATCATATAGAGGGACAGATACTAGGGTTAATAAACCAAAATGATAATACTTTTGAAGTCAAAAAGAAATCAGATTTCTCTCTTACCTTTACAATGTCTGTAACATATTTCAGTCCACTTTCAAAATCAGACAGACTCTGAAAAGAAAGGGCAATGTGTTTATTTTTGGAGTTGACGAGGGAGTTGCTCACTGCGTAGCCCAGGTTGGCCTTACCCTCCCAGACACCGAGGCTGTAGGTCTGCGGAAGCATTCCTGGCTATGAGCATAATTATTTATGGATAAAACCACAGCCTTTCTGCTCTAACCGCCTCAGTTCCCCAATCCCATTTGAGTGCATATCCATCATACTGGATCAAAGGCGGCTTGCTCCAGTGCTTCATGGGACAGAAAGAAAGGGCCCTTTGGGATCACAAACGCCCATTCCATACCTGGAAAACAGTGCACAGCAACTGTCTTGACAGCTTGTTCTGAATGACTGAGAAGAGTTTGGCCAGAGGTTTGAGAAAGCTGGTGGGGTTCAGACAATGCTGTAACAAGTTCTGCACTGTCACCAGAATGTCAAGCTCTGTATCCTGAGAATCAGGAGAAACTGCATTTCAGTATTTCGTAGAACGTTACTCACACACACACACTCAAAGGTACTAGTGTTATTATTTTAAGATCTGATTTTGATACTTGGAACAATCCTGCCTCCTCCGTGCTGGGATTAGAGGTGTGCACCATCATTCCTGCCTCTGCCTCCTACATGCTGGTATTAGAAGCTGTGTACCACCATACCCAGTTTAGTTTATATTTTATGACAGTGATAGAAACAGTTACAAGAACTGGAAAAAATTATTTCATGGCATTTAAAAAATAGCATTTTAACACAAAATCTAGTTATGGTTTCTTCCTTCAATTCTAATGAGAATGGACGGGAGTCTGCAGCACTGTCTCTCCAGGTCATGAATCACAGCAGAACCAGTAGCATAAGCCCACTGAAGAAAATGCACGCTTCTGGCTGTCTACAGATTTATGGGCTTCTATCTGAACGACCACCTGCTCACTCACACCCAATAAATGAGTCGCTAGAAGAACTCCTGAGTGGAGTACCTCGGGTTTAGAATCTGATCAGAAACTCTTGGTTGAATATTAAGAGAAAGATTTTTCATTCAGTTTTGCTAATATGATCTGTATTCATGACTCCACAATGTACAGTGAGCTTAGGTTTTATTTGTTGCTCAGGAGGGAGAGATCCTGGAATGGAGAGACCCTTACTGCAGTGTCCGGTGACACCTTCTCTCCCATCTACTCTAGCCCAGTCCCCCCGTATTTCAAATGCTGGACTTCTAAACAGCCTTAAATTTTCTGAATCAAATGTATCACAGGGTATAAGTCACAAGATCGCCTATAAGCAAAGACACCTATTGGAATGGCACCCTCGGAAGACACAGTAACCGAAGACTGTACCTGCGCAACACTGCCATGGAGGAGGAAGGGAAGGAGAAGAGTGATGAGGAGAGAGCTCTGCTCTCTGTCTTTCATAAACTTGCTGATCCTAAAGAAGACAGTGAACAGGTGAGGAAGGTGTGGGGAAGGAGGATCTGAGCGCCAGGCCGCAGACCCCCATCAGTTGTGCAGTGGGCACTCTCTCCCGGCTCCACCATTTCCACCATATCTGGCTGTCTAGGGGGTTCCTGATGTCAGGGCTGTCATCAGGCAATTCATGCATCCTTGGTTTGCAAGGAAATCACCCACTAAAGGTTTTACACACAATTTTCCAATGTAATTCCATCAGCAGCACTATGACAGAGGAATTGTTCAGCCCCATGTTGTGGAGAGAGAAAGTGAGACCCAGCGGAGCGGCCGTAGTGTGTTGGGAAGCATCAGCGGGTCTATGACTCTGGCCTTTCTGGAGCGTAAGGGTTCACCATCTTTCCACTATCTTACGTAAGGGTTCACCATCTTTCCACTATCGTACCCATAAGCTGGGACAAAACTTAGCGATCACTTATAGAAACTTAAAAACGTAAATAAAACATTCTAGCTTCTAAAAGATCCCAGTTTATCACTTTATGTTGCTGAAAGTAATATTAAAGGTTATCAATGTTTCATAATGCTTACATCAAAATTTAAGATAAATCTTTTTTTTACTAACTTTGCCTTTATAGAAAGCGATTATATACTATTAGCTTTATTGCCAAAGACATTTAAAAAAAATAACAGGCTTGAGTCTTCAGTTTGTTCTTTCTAGTATTTTTTAGTGATCTAACAAAACCTGAGACTTTGATTAAGCAGATACACAAAGGAGGAACCAGCAAATCTTTAGTCTGACTCGGCTCTGGAAGACTCAGCAAGTGCCCTGCTGCCCTCTTCACTCCCAGCCCCGCTCCTGCTCTTAATTTGATGGTTAGTGCTAGAGAGTAAACCCAGCATCTTGCAGGTGACATTTCAGAAGACTCCTTTTCCCTAGTTTGTTCAAAATTGTTAACTGACAAACAAGATAAAGGTTTTTAAAACGAACGCTAATCTTCACCGTTAACGACAAACAGTCACTCACTTGGACAGAATGCCGAGCTCTTTACTGACTTGTGCCCTGTTCTTTTTCTTCTTCACCTTCTCTGCGCTGATGGTGGTTTTGCTGAGGTACTGCAGAATTGCAGGCACGTGGGGCAGAATCAGTCTCCCTCCCACAGTGAGAGGCTCTGAAACGGGGATTGTTTAAATTAACCTTCCGTCAGCATTATATGGTATCCCCTTGATGACAGACAAAGTATTCAACTATTAATGAGCATTTAAATTTCAATTCTAATCATTAAAATAACCTTCTCTTCCTTAAAAGAGAGACACCAGTAGCTAAATCAGAAATGTATTTATTTAATCAGTTATTCATTCATATATTTATATTTAGTTTTTTGAGGCAGGATTTCTCTGTGTACTCCTGGCTCTTCAGACCAGGCTGGCCTTAAACTCACAGAGCTCCTCCCTGCCTCTGCCTCCCAGTGATGGGATTAAAGGCATGTGCCACCACCGCCTGGCTTTTAAATTACAAATTCATAAAAGACCTTAGGGCCCATTAATCCAGGAACTGTTGGGGTACCGCGACAGGAAGAATCTGGGTGCAACAGCGGAACGCTTCCTGGAGGACCGCCTAAGAACTTCCTAGGCAGCAGCCATCCACGTTCCCACCCGTGCAATCAATGTCAGATTACACACGTCTCTGAAACAAGGCATTTCCCAGACCACTTGACGTCTATGAATCACCCGCTCTGTGCAGCGCACACACCTGTGTCGTCAGCCACCTCGGCATACACACAGCCAGTCACCGGCAAGCTTGGCACTGTCTCTGTGGGCTCGAAATCTGGAAGGTTGAGAAGGTCATCGACTATGTCCATCACGATGCTGGCTGTGGCATTGGACAGATTCTTTGCTGAGAGGACGGCAAAGACGTTGGTCAGGACATCGCATTCTGGGTGTCCAGGTCTCTGTTTAGCCAGAAGAGGGAAGTATCTTCAAGGAGAAAGACACTGTGATAAGCATCACTTCTCAGGATGTTTATGTCTAAAACATTCCATAAGAGTTTCTAAGTGATTTTAACGTGTAAATGAAGAGGAAGTACTTTAAAATCCAGAACTCAATGGCTAATTCTAAGCACGCTATAAACATTTATATATATTTATTTAGACTTCATGACATCTCTGTGAGGTGCCATCATTTCACATCACAGATGAAGGGCAGACCTGCTAAAGCCACTGAGCCATCAAACAAAGATTAAGGACAGTGGATACAGCTCACCTCTACCTGTTCAGTGCGAAGCAAACTGCTACACTTCTCTATAGTTGGGAAAATCAACTTTAACATCTGATGCTATGAAAGGGGCAGTTTTACTTTACATTTTTATCACACTGACTTATTTTTGTGTGTACGCTTGAGTGTGAGGGTTTACTATTGAGCAGGACATGTGGGGGCCAGAGGGCACCCTGTCCGAATCAGTTCTCTCCTTCCTCCATCCACGTGGCCCTAAGGGATCAAACTCAGGCCGTGTGCCTTTATCCGATGAACCACAGCGCTGGAACCGGTCGACGCTAGTTCTAGTTATTTGCTTGTGGAAAGAGTAGCATTCTTACGAAGTAGTTCGTGACACATTTATTCACTAATTCTTTCACAGACAACTATATGTGTGTCTGTGTTCACTGGGATTCTACAGTCATGAAAGCAAACAGCTGGAGTACCAGCCCAGGATGGCGTTCTGGTGAGCAAACTTTAGTCCCTTGAAAGAGCACCAAGGGCTTGAAACTGCTGAGCTATCTCTACAGCCCATTATCTGCTTTCTCAGAAAAGGAGGAGGAAGACATTTCAGGATTCATGAAGTGATGTCCAATGTGGATGTGCCTTGAATCAGGGACCAAATAAAGTCAGAAGGAGCTGCACTGTAGCTGTGGTCTGTCTGTACACATCACTATGAAAACTTCCTCAAATACGACTACAGAGCACTGCTGACAGACACTCAGAGGTGAGCTACAATGTCAGGTTGTCATCAAATGTGGAAACAGCGAAGTGAGGCCTTTCCTTACAACAAACGGGCTCCCTACTGGTAGAATGAACAGAAAAAGAAAATGATGCTTCTGGGTTTTAGGGGAAGCCTGTTTAATAACAAGAAAATATTCATGCCATAACGGTAAACAATGAAATATAAAACGAAAAACTGGCTATACAACATAGCTCTAATTTTGTAAAAACCAATGCCATGATTTTAGATAACAGATCAATATCAAAGCTTAACCTGACGTAAGAGCTGTGTGTTTGTCTGGACAGGAGTTTTCATTCTCCTTTTCAAGAGAGAACTGGGGAGAAGACGCGCCAGACTATCAGTGAGCACACGAGCATTTGTTTCTGAGGACAGGAAAGTTATGTGACGATGCCATCCCTTATAGGATCGACATCCTACTTCCCCAGCCAGCTCAGATCAAATGACCAACACAGACATCACACATGCAGGAATGCATCCATCGACTGCCATGCCTAGGCTTCCACTTTGCATTTTATATACAACTGTCATTTGTATCAATCACATTGCAAGATGTAATTTATACCTATTTTTCCATTTTCTAAAAAGCTGAAAGAAAGGATACTGAATGTTTTTTACAAGAAAGAAAAGATATTTGAGTATATGTTCATCCTGATTTTTACCCTATACAATGTATTTATGTACTGTAATATAACCCATAAACGTAAAATTTATATTTATTTTTTTAAGTTTCTCACACATCTCTTTTAATTCATAGGCAAATATATCTATGAACATTTTTCTTGGGATACATCACGTATATTGTTTAAGCCCATTAGTTTTCTTTAATTACATATTTTGAGTTTTTTACATATTTTGAGTTTTATTCAATTGCTTCTTATCTGTTTGACTGTACTTCAAAGCAACTCACTAGACAGCGGACGGCCCTGACACCAGCTCTGACTAGACTGAAGCACTGCTCTTCCTTAGAGGAAAAAAGTCTTACCTTGCATTTCTGCTCCAGATACTAATTAGCTTCAACAGAGGAGTAGGCGAATACTGACTCTCAGATCCAAGCCTGCAGATCTAAGACGGCAAATGAAGGTATATAAACCACAGGGACTTACAGGAGAAACAAGAGCAACTACTAAGCAGAGGAAGCACCACAGCGGAGGGTGAAAGACCACACAGAAAGGACAGACAAGAGGGAGAGAAGGGCAGCAACGGTGGGTGCACAGAGTATCTGGAGACTGGGACAGCTGTCTGGGGATTTATGGTCAGAAATGACTGAGTCTAAACAGCTAGAAGCTGTTTCCAAATCAAGTCCCTCCCGCCGTCTTCTTAGCTAGTTACACCAGTTCCCATAACAACTGGTCACAAGCAGAGAAACCCGAAAAGAAACGCTGATGAACACAGCACCTTCCGTGTGCTGACACGAGGCGTTGGAAGGTAGCGCACACTTAAGGCGCACACCATACTCAAGCTAACCTTCAGTGTAAACGCCACAGAATTTAAAAACCGACTTTCGATCTTTGGGTCTAACTAAGTGTTCTAACAACTTGCAGAAATAAAAGTCTTGATGTAAGAAAGCAGAGCAGACAACCTTTGTGTCTGGGGGGCGGACTATGCTGGTGAATAAAAACACTGGGAGAAGTAGAAAGTGTCAGGCAGGGTGGAGAAATCAAATCAAGGTTTACCTGAGGCCAAACTGCACCATGAAACACAGCATCAATTTCTTCCGCTCTGAACTGATAGGATTCCCAATCCAAAAAGATATCGCTGATCATCTTGATTCCCAGGCGTCTTAAGTTTTTCAGTGGGTTAATAAATCTTAGTTGTATCTGCAAGCAAATGTCTTTTTCAGACACAGACACACACACTACCCTCCCCTACCTGACTCCTTAGAGAGACACTCTTGCTCATGTGGCAGAGAAAAAAGAGGCTTGGGGATGGGGAGACGCTCAGTGTTTAGCAGCACGGGCTGCTCTTGTAGAGGACCCAGGCTCAGTTCCCAGAACCCACACGGCAGCTCCTAACCCACAGCTGTCCATCTCCAGTTCCTGGGGATCTGGTGCCCTCTTCTGGCCTTCAGGGGCACTGCATGCAATGGTGCACGGACATACAGTGAAAAAAGCAGTAACAGAAATAAACAAATATGTCTGTGTGGAGGCAGAGAGGCTGGAGAGTCACAGCAAACACTAAACAGACATGATGTTTCCTTCCCTAGGTGGTGTGAAGTCATAACAACGCAGGCCATCTGTTCAGGCTCAAACTAGACGTATTTACTGAGTTCCCATCAATGGCATTATAGCCAAAGTCTGTATTTATAGGAGGAACTGAAAATTCTGAAGAGTTTGATATGTGAGGAGTTTTATAAACCTGGGAATGGCAAATATCATGCAGAATTTCCACCGGATATTAAAGAATGAATGGGCTTATCCCAGAGAGGAGAAACAAGGGCTTCAGAGTGATGCTCTCCAAACACACTGTTAAAAGGAACTAATCAACGACATCTCAAACATGACCACCTCTCTACCTGTTCAATATGCTGTGAGTGTCAGATATTTAAATAGCAGCATTCACATAGTTCTTTACCTAAACACCATCCTGGAACCCAGGGCGGCAAAAGAAATCCTCTTATGCAGTGAACATCAAGTCCACATCCAAGACACAACGAATAAAACTAAGAGGGGGCCACTTGCCACAAAAAGCCCACGCTGCAGCCAACAGAGACGGCTCAGTCTGAAATGACTAATTTTAAATCAAGAGCCTATGACCCAGCATGCTTTATTCGCCACATAAGGCCAAGGAAACATGAGATCTCACACGCCTCTGCCTTCACTCGCCTCCCTACTTAAGCTGCAGAGGAAAAAAGGTGAACACAAGAAGGTGCCACGCGGCTGATCATTCTGATCCTGCTTCCTCTGTCGGGAGCACCTGTGCTGCCCCTGGAGTCAGGTTTGGGGGAAGATAAAAACCGCCACTGCCACTTCTGAACACCGCACTGTGATCCTCTGGACACATGACAACCAGCACGCAAACAAGACGCCCACCATTCTCCATCCCCGCTCTTCCCATGGCAGGATGGGCACATTCTGTCCATTTCTACAGCTAGAGTTCCAGCTTACTCCGTAACTGTTGACCAAGCCAGAGGAACGCCCGGAAAATGCACATTTGTAGGCTTTATGGATATCTGTACACAGCCACTACTTCAATGGACAAACACCACAAAGTCAGTTACTACCTAACAACACACTGCATGTCAGCCAACACCGCAAAGGCTATCAAATCCATAAAGAGCAGTGTGTAACTGAGCTCACACACACACCAGGACAAATCACCGTGGGGTGACTCATTATGCCTCTTAGAGGAACTCCTCGGACCTGTTTAAAAGAGCAAGAAGCTCCACATCCGAGGGCAAGCTTAACACCTCAGGAACTAATGAACCATGAAATTGCACAAATGATCCTCTGAGTTACACAATGCTGGCTTGGGAACATGGCCCATTACTGAGTAACTTCTAAGTTAATCGAAAGTCCAAAGGCCGCGTCTTTACGAAACCTCTCACACTTCTGGACTTAGCACGTGCACAGACGCTCCCTTCTGTCTGCGCTGAAGCACAGATGGAAATGTGCACCGTCTCCTTTAAGCTCACATAGGACAGAGTTTCCCATGACCTCGCTTTGGTGCCAGCCTTAGTTTTTCTAAGCCTCTTTCCTGCAAAGTAACCAAGGCAGTAACTATTTTTGTTTCTGTATTTTTGCTTGTTTGCTTTTGAGACAGGATCTTACTATGGAGACCTTGTTAGTCCTCAATCTCACACTATAGACCAGGCTGGCCTTGAAGTCAACAAGATCAACCAGCCCCTGCTTCCCGAGTGCTGGCATTAACGGTGTGTAATTCTCTTGCCTCTGCATCCCTCAGCAGATCCAACTGGTGTGGCCACCACAGCTGCCAGAAGGCAGCATCCTTATCATGCCTCTGTTCAAGGTCTGTCAGGAATTCCCCAGTAGGAAGGAAGTTTTCATACTTCCAAGCAAATACACATCGTTATCACCAACCTCACTTATGGGATGCTTCCCCTCACTGCGCTCTAGACACCCCCGCCCTGTCTCAGAACACACTGGAGCTGTGCCACCCCAGGGGGTCAGCTCTTGCTGACTCATTTCATTAACAAGGCCAATTTACATCTACCTAAAAACCAGCTGAAAATTCTGATAGCCAACTTCTATCCAACACCGCGTTCAGAAGGCAGTTCACTGGGTGTATTACCAATCTACAATTTCTTTCTCTCTTTCTTTCTTTCTTTTTTTTTTTTTTTTACTTTTATTTCACATGCGTTGGTGATTTGCCTGCATGTGTATCTATATGAGATGCTGGAGCCCCTGGAACTGGAGTTGCAGACCGCTGTGAGCTGCCATGTGGGTGCCGGGAACTGAACCCGGGTTCTCGGGAAGAGCAGCTGGTGCTCTTAACCGCTGAGCCACCTCACAGCCCCCAGAGCCAACTTCTTAGACAAACTGGAATTTATGCCCATTTGTTAATAACAGCCAGAGTTCAAAAGACAAAATGGGAGCCTGGGTCTTTCCTTCAAACCCAATTGCTCCAAGTGGCCTCCTGTGTATCATTATAATGTATAACCTTCTTCCCTCCGTCCTCAAGCGTAACCTCACGGCCACATTCCTAGTTCAGCAGAACAGGTCTGGAATTCAATTCAGAAAAAATCAACAGCGCTTACCTTCTGCAGTTGGTCAGCTACCTAAGCAGTCTTGCTCACCACTCTGCTTATTTATCAAAAACTGCACTGGCTCCAGCATTGATTTCCCAGAGTCTGCAACTCTCTCAGCATAACAAGAGTTCTAGGAGATTTAACCTGGGAAGCCACTAGCGATTCAGACGCCAAGAAGCAAGCATCTCTGAGACTCTCACCTTCTCCCGCTGGTCAAGGATGTGCGAGACGGCTGCCGTCATACACAGCAGGATCTGCAGGATCTTTGGCAGGTACGCGCTGATCAGGTGGCTGACGTTCTTCAGAACCACCTCCAGGCTGTTTAGGATGCCATGCTGACGGCCCACAGGAAGGACCTTAGACAAATCCAAATCCTCCACTGCCCGAAGAACTGCAGAGTGGCATTCCCCTGGGGACAGAGAGGATGTGGTCTTCAGGGAAACGCTAGTCTCTTTTGGCACAGCATCCCTCCCACCCCTAAATACTGCAGCGTTCCTAGAGACGTGTTACTGTAGGTGACAATGCACTTCTCTCATAGGTTACCTCCCAATTTTTAAGAAAAGCTCAGGGAGGCCAGCAAGTTGGGTTTTACTGTTCACATTTCAGACAGGGAAAACGAGGGATAAAGAAAGATAAGGTAGTTGGAGGGCTGACTCTAAGTACAAATCTCACCCAATTTTATTATTATTTTCTTTCTTTCTTTCTTTCTTTTCTTCCTTTTTTTCTTTCTTTCTTTTTTGAGAAAGGGTCTACTTACGTAGCTCTGGCTGTCCTGGAACTCACTAAGTAGACCAGGCTGGCTTCAAACTATCAGAGATCCACCTGCCTCTGCTTCCCAAGTGCTGGAACTAAAGGTGTGTGCCACCACGCCTGACTGACCCAATTAAAAAAACGCCATTCCTGAACACTGGAGCTACTGAGCTGTGCTGACTTTGGCAGTCATGGATCTCCTAGAAGATTAAGAATACTGCGTCCTCTCTCTCACATAATTCCAGGTTAATAAATAAAAACAACTACTTTATAAACAACTGCTACAACACTGACTGCAGAGTTTGCTAAAATGACCTGAGCTGCTGCTGCTTCAGCTTTGCACAGCCACCTGGGGTCAGATGGATTCACCGAGGCACACACTCAGCTGCCCACCTGAGACTGCATCGTCCACCCACCCAGTCAAACCTCTGTTCTCATCAGAGTCATTCTCCTACACAGGGAACACTATACTACATGGAAACCTATGATCCGGATCAAGACAAACTGTACCACCAAATAAATATTTATGTTGGGATGAAGTCAATCAATTTTGGAACTGGAACAAAGGATTTCATAGTCTGAAAGGTCTGAGTTCAAATCCCACCTCTACTGGTTTTCTCATCTGTAAAATGGACAACTATACAATGAGAGCACCAGCGTTTGTTAACATCAACTGAGTTGTCTGCAAAGGGTTTTTGATAACGTTACGTGTGGAATACGCGCTCATGGCGAGTAATCGCCATGACAAACATCCCACACTGTGACAGAGGAGCGCACCAGAGCTTGCCTGCACTATTCCACGTCTCCACTGCTTTTCAGCTGAGCCCAGCAGCTGGGACACAGGAGAGACATACAAGCCACTGCTCGCTGCTCAACAGGTAAATGATTCTGTGGATAAATAAATGACTAAATCGCTAGAGTTCTGGTTAATTCTTACAACTTGTTCTCGATCTCTTGGGGTGTGAGAACTGACTCCCTCCCTCCTCCCCCCATGAATTTAAAATACAGTCTTAGATGTAGCCCTGGCTGACCCAGGATCATTATGTAGACTAGTCCAGTACATCTTCTGTATAATGAGAAGTACTTGTCATTTTTCACTGGTAGAAATGTACAACAAAATACACATTTTTTTTAATCGAAATCTCCTAATGCAAGGGTACTGACAACCCTGGGGTCAACTGTGAGACCAGCAAAGTTTATAGTGAACTGCATTTCCGCAAAAAGACATCAGAAGGGTGGGAGGAAGCAGTCCATTAGAAAGATTTCTCCCGGGAATGTCTAAAGGTTGCCACAAAAGGCGTGCATTTGGTCAGAGGCAGTGAATAGCTACCGTTCTTGAAATGCTTCACAGGTTCAGACAGCAGATCTAAGAAGAACTGGATCTCTTCAGGTTGGGTCCCAGCGAGGAAGCGCAGGACAATGGCCATTCGGGTGCCCGAGGCCGACTTCCCCTGGGTTTTACTTCCTGTCTTGTTCTTCATCCGCCCGTATAAAATTCTGAAAAGTCAAAACAGCATTATCCACATACGTGCTAGACATAGCACGAGCTGCTTGTTTTACTACAAGGCTTAAGGATCTAATCCAAAGATTTCAACGGAAATACTATAAAGTTAAGAGAAAAGGAAAACAGGTACTATGAGAAAGGACGAGACAAGGCTAGCAGGAAGCAGGAAACAGAAAATAAAAAGGCTAGAAGGTCATTCACTCTATGCAGAGAAAAAAAGCAATAAAACAGGCAAGTCAAGAATAAGTTAAATCAAGGATAAATGAAAACAATAATATAGATATTAAAAAGAAGTGAAATAAGAGCCTGGAAGAAAAAGAAACATATAAACCAGCAATAAAAAAAAATGAGGGGGCCAGAGCTCTCTGTGCGGGCCAGGCAGCCAGAGCTCCCATGAGACCCCATCTCACATCTAACAACAAAATAAACACAACAAAAATCACATGGAGCTTATCTAGTTTTACAAGAAAATTTTAAAAGCTTTTCAGGAAAAATATAATTCATAGCACAGAGAAAAGAGGAAAAAGCATTTTTTTTTCTTTATGGGACGTGGTAAGAGCAATACATGGGTGAGTTAATGAGTGAAAATAAAAGCCAACACTAATCCTGCTTATAAACATAAAACATCATTCCCCATAGCACTCCCTCCCAATAAACCCATACATTAGACTAACCTATAAACAAAGCAGAGCATCTCTCCCACCCCTTCCTTCCTTGTACTGCCGACACCAGCCTTGAACCTGGCTTCCAGAACTGCATGCATGCAGAACCATAATAAGCTCAAAATACGCTTCTCTTTTAGTTTTTTAAAGGATTATTATTTATTTTATTTTGCTTCCAGGTATGTGCATTAAGTGTGTGCCTGGTGGGTCAGAGGACATCTAATGTTTGTGAGCACTGGTAATTGAACAGGGTCCTCGGCATGAGCATCAGTGTTCGTATCCTGAGCATCTCTCGGCCTTCATGCCACAGGCTCATAGCAGGGAATGCATTGCAGGGAATGCATCGCAGGGAATGCAGCAGAGAGCGGGCAGCACACGTATGGGAACACGACAGAGAAAAGGCTCCTGGTAACGTTAACCATTTTAATACAAGCTTAGTAACAGTAGTCAGCATCCACCCCCTTAGTAACAGTAGTCAGCATCCACCCCCTTAGTAACAGCAGTCAGCATCCACCCCCTTAGTAACAGTAGTCAGTCAGCATCCCCCCCCTTAGTAACAG